TTCTTTGACGTTTGATCCTCAAATAAACAAGAGAGAAGATTTACAGTAAATGGTCCACTTAAGGATTATTTGAAATTGCCTCTCAATGTGTTAGCTCTCAATGTGGCTGAATTTTGCTTGAGATATACCGCTCTCAATTGGTAGCAACAGAAATTACATTTCAAGTAAAGGAAAGCGTTGACTTTTGATTTAAAAATTCTAAGATTCACAGTCCTTTAGATAAGATTTGTGAGTATTTTAAATGTGAAAAAATCCTTTAAAATATTCTAGAAAATAAGTATCTATCTGAGAGAAGCCACAAGAATATGTTTTACAGATTAACACAACCTACCCTCACTTCCCAAAACACACACATACAGTATAAGCAAATGTTTGTCAACTCTTAATTATACATTTCTGCTACTAGTTATGAAGATGGTGTTCTTAACTAGAAAGTTAGGAAGGAATATTTTAAAATGTCCTCTGGCAGCAACAATTAAAAGAATCACACATACTGTATGGTTCACAACAGAAAGACTATCCTCTTGCTGGTATTATTTTTTTCTCTTTTAAAATTTTCAAAATGCATTAAAACACATTTGTAATGCATTTTGAACACACGTTTTGTTCTTGCATAGCCTCCTTATTAAGGTTAAGAGACATTAACTTGTGCAACAATGCTAAGTTACGTAGACAGACCAGATATTATTGTTTTTGGGTATGTAGTCTGTTCACTATATCATTCTGTTTTTACCTGTCCTGAATATTGTTGAATGTTCAATTGGGATATCTGTTTAGGATATACTTGAAATCTGATCATCAAAGGCTATAGGTTATTTTTCTTTTGATTCCACCTGAGCAATTAATCATGCAATAGAACAAATTAATTTATCACCGATGTGTTAATTAACCAATGCTGTCCCCAGGTCTAAAGCAAGTCATAATTTAAAAAGATTTAAAAGCTGCTTCATTTTGGAGTTCAGGGACTGGAGTTTCTACTAGTAAAGGTCAAATGAAAAAGCTTTATAATCTTCCCTTAAAGACTCCCTTAAGTTGTGTGCTGTCTCCCCAGAAAAGTATAAAAAATCCCCCAAACCGTAGATGAATGTTAGGTTATATACAGTATAAGGGCTGTATATACTGAAGCAAAATGTATTTAAGTCTTGAGGGATTGTGCCCTTACTGAATTGTTTACTGATGTAGCACAGTTAAAAGTGTTTTGTATTTATGCATCCAAATGGGCAGCAAATAATTCCTTATTTGTTCAATGGTCCATTGGGAGACTATTCATTACAGAACCACAAGGTGAATCATTTTACTCCACAGGAAGACCATCACCATGAGCATAATTTATTATTCCTCCTGTCAGACAACCACAGACATTACTTGTGACATACAGGCCACAAGATACATACCCGAAGCCAGCCGGGAAGTTCTGACCTCTAAATTTGCCAAAAATCCCACAAAGGTGATAAATTTCACATTTCTCTTGTTCCTGAACAGAATCAGCTGTCTTGCCAGCCACATAGTTTCTCACACCACAGTCATAAGGGAATGACTTGCACAATGCGTTCCATATGCATTTCTGGAGGCAAAGATATATTGTACTACACATCTGGAGCAGACCACCTATGCTAGGCCCATCTGACACTCTTTTAAAGTTATTGTTTGGTTTTGACTTGCTATGATTTATTTGTTGCACTCCTTTTATCCAAACTTGAATCGTCTTCTTATGAAGAAAATATTAAAAGATTACTGGGGTCAAATTTGTTGGCTCTAAAAAAGCCACTGTCTCTGAGGCTTACAATATGTAACATTGATAAAAAAAAAGAAAAATAACCTCAATAGTGAAAATACAAAGATTGAGCTGAGTTCATTTCCTGTTACAAACTATTTTTTTATTTCAAAAAAGGTGAGAGAAACAGATCAGATATAAACCATTTTTTTCTCGTCAGTATCAAAACATGATAGAACAGACTTCTGGAATGTGAACATTTGACCAATATATGTAACGAATGTCACACAGATTTTTTTTTTTTCGGGGATGTTGACATAAATCTAGAAAAAAGAGAAGAGATTACTTGACATGCACCAGACTCTGGACAACATGCAATAAACAATACATAATTGCCTATTTAGTTTAGCGGAAAACGGGGGTTTGTTCACAATGACACAAACCCATTGGCTACACTGACTCAAAGGCTGTAAAATTCACTCATGGTTTAATGGTGTTTTAATGTTGGAACACCACATAACTGACTCACTCAAGACTGACACAATATTGAAAAATAGAAATACAGTGATTTTGTCCTTGAGCAGTTTTTGTCTTGGCATACCTCAGTCTCGTCCTGATCTGCACCAGCCTAATGCCTCTGTCAGCATTAATACGCAGTGACAGGGCGGCGATTGCATGACAAGATACATGACTAGTCTGTGCGTGAGAACCATGCCCTATTCCAGCTTGGTTTGTTTTCTTTCGTGACCATGTTTCTCCCCTCTGCCGCTCTGTCACCTTCTCACCTTCCAGCAGGCTCCTTTAACCCCGGTTGTACAATTAGTAAGTCACAGCACATTGTTTTTTTTTTTAGAAAGTTACATTCTGGAAATGGTTCACACATTCATGGCTGACTTCACCGCAAAGGGACAAAATGCCAAGTGAAGCTTTGCGTGGCTGTAATTTCTTTCATTCTTATTTCATAAGACAGACAATACAGCGCCCCTCCCGTCTGGTTACAGGGAAATGTGTCACTCCAAATCTGGGTTTGCTGCTTTTTAGGAACAGATAACACTTTGGTACACTTGTGTTTCAGGTCAGCTGGAGTTTAGAGACTAATGCAGTGTTTACCAGGGTGAGGAACTATGCGAAATGCATGAAGAGAATGCTTGATGTCAATGATTCACTGTACAGTACACAATTAGCATACGTGAGGCAGATTAACCATGCATTTTTCACCACAAAGCCTCAATTAATAACATCTGAACATTTTCCAAACCTTTAATGTGTTATCATGTAACAATTAGAAAAATGAATAAGCAGATTTACCTGAAAACTACTAATTAGTAAAACCAACAAAAACAACAGAACAAGGCAAATTGAAACATTAAGTCCTTACCTACATCTGCTCATAAAAAAAGTCTGCTCTGTAACCTACTTATCAGTGATAATGTATCTCTAGTACTTGTAAAATATTTTTAAGAATTAAAGATGGGATTAATGGAAAAGAATAGAGGTTGAAATATTGCCAAAATGTTTTAGTTGGACTCTCATGTTTTAATATTGTGATACAATTCGTGTAGAGCTTTTCTTAATGTTTTTTTCTTACTGGAAGACCCCTAAGGCATTTTCTAAACAATGTGCCGCACCATGGCAGAGTGCCTTCAGACAAACGAGTGTACTGTGGGATTTTCAACGTCATACATGAGAAAAAACAACAACATTCATTTTATATTATTATTGTGGAGTAACCTGAGTGATGGGATACACATTCTATGTTTGGTGTGACAGGTTAAATTTGACATATTAAAAAAAAAAAGAATGTCAGAGGTCAGCTAAAAAAAAGCTCTATGTTTCAATGTCATCAATTCCTGACAGGTTAAAGTGACTATCAGAGGTGTAAATCGGCAGGGGATTTAAAACAGTAAAAAGAGGCCCTGACTACTGTGTAAATCCTTTCATAAATTTTTGGATATTCATTGTTTAATTAATGCCAAAAAAGTGTGAGTGTTAATTTATCATATTTAAGTATTTTAAACAAAAACAAATTACAATACCTTTAACACTATTGTCTGGACCTCAGTTGATGCTGACAAAAAGGTAATGCATATACTGTAGATGGTGAAATAACTCTAAAGCAAGAGCAGCAATTTGCTGTAATGATAGGCAAACATGGATCAGTACTACATCAAGCACAGTATTTCAGCTTAGGCACTGTATCTAAAGCAGGACTAAACACAAATCCTTTTTGTTGAAATGCAGCCCCAGTCATTATGAAAAACCACAAATGCATTCTGGTACTGACCACACACTGCTATAAATATAAAATGAAGCCATCTTATGATACACATTATTGGTAACACATTAAATTCAATGATTTAAGACAGCATTTTTTTTTCATTCAACAACATGACAACACCAGGATATTGCTATAAACAAGAACCTGATGTAATTTTCTCCTTTCCTGGGTTAGTTATGCACTGAGCAATGTGTATCACTGCGACTTAATTCCTACAGGCTGTACAACAGATGTTACAGCCCACAACTAAGGGATGTCTCAGAGTTTTGTGTGTGCGGTGGCAAATCGGGATTGAAAGGGGTACAATAATTAAGAGTAAAATAAGATTGTTCCGAGTGCCCTAAGAATGCTGACAGCATTTCAGCAAAACAATCAAATCTAAGTGAAGGAGCTCCAAGGGGAGATGTGTCTGTAGTTGTTTATGTGGCGAGACTGCTTTGCATGGTTTTTATAGCCTATTGATCATCATCTTAATACAGATAAACATAAAGGTTTTTTTTCTTCCACATGCATAAATACCAGCACACACCCTTTAAAAGAACAACATCCCACATAAAACCCCTACAACAAAATAGTTAGAAAGTTCTGTTGGATTTCACTTAATTCATACATTGCGAGAAAACAAATACAGCACTTTTTGTATAAAACGTTTGAAGTCTACATTCCCTAAGCCTCTCCAACAGCATGAAATTGAAAATTATACAGTTGAATTTCATTGTCATTCATTGAAAAGTTATATCCAAACAGACAAAGCACAGAATTTTAGAGTTGTTGTAACTTTTAAAAACATACTCCATAACAAAATGACCCTGCAGTTTGTCTGAGGAGAAATTTAAAATATTGTATGTTGCATGCTAGACACTTGACAATCGGCCAACATACATCTTAAGAACACAATGTTCTTTCAAGACAAAACTGTAAAATCAGAAACTATCTTTACAATCGCTTAAAAATAATGAAAACAACAAACCTGAAATTAGTGGTTTAAAAATAAATTTAATAGGGTATATCATATATATACAAAGGAAGGTGATATAACAAAAACATAAAAGGGAAACAAAAAAAATGACAATTTCCTTCCATACCTACAGAGGAAAAATAAAGAAAACCTCAAGGTCTTCGAGATTTTGCAGTTATCATTGCTTTTCTCTGTCCAAAACACTGTCCAAAACAGTAACTACATAGTAATTCATTACCTTTTCAGAGCACAATATTCAACATGAATTCTTCAGCAAAGTCTATTATACACCTTTGTTGTCTTAGCCCGAACATCTCAATATTAAACTTCTTTAGCAAAACAGGCAAGAACTACCATTTCTTCAATAAAAGGGCCTTCACACATCTATGTGTTCACTCATGTGTTTTACAAAGAGTAAAATTGACAAGGGTAAAAAATCATCTTCGACAGATCATGTTGGACAAGCAATGCAAACTGTTAAATAGCGTCCTTAATGCAAAAAAAAAGACCAATGTTAATTTCTGACAACTGCTTCTAAGTTCTACAGTTGCAAGCAGCTCAGTCTTTTGCATCACCAACTCCATCTGGATTAATAGCAAACATGGCCTCAGCCTCTGGGAGACAAGGAGAATCATAAATCTTGCATATCCGGGTCTCACCACGGCCTTTTCTTAAGTACAGTCTGTGTAAGAGACATAAACAACACCAATACATGAACCTCGCAAGTGCAAAATATTTCATGACAACTCCTTGCTAAGCACATATAAAAGATGGTCCTTAGCGTTTTCGCAAACATTGCTAACCCCCGATACTGGCAAGGTTAAAGGATCCAGTTTGTTGTGAAATTGCTATCTTGTCACTGAACATGCTTCAGGCATCTGTTTCAGTAGAATTAAACTGGACTTCATAATTACCATGAATATTAAACATTAAAGCACAAATGAATCATTTAAATATAATAAAGGGCATTCATTCTTACAACTGCAGAAAACCTCTGTAATGCAAGATCCACTGATTTCATTTCATCCCTAATTTTAATAAAGGTTGGAAAAACGGAAGGAAACAAGCGACACATTCAAACTTTCAACAACAACTTAATGATATTAAAGAATTTTATAATAACCAATAACAATAAGTAATAACCAATGATAATGTAGTTCAGGCAACAGAACACACCTAGTAGTTGATGCATGGGCAAGGATGTTGCCTCCAATAGGCTTTTTTGGATCTGCAGAAAACATAGCAGCACCATCCACCTGAGCCACCACCTGGTTAGAGATCACCACCGCTACGCCGAACTACAGGGAAAAATCACAGTATCAGAAAGACACACTGGGTGTCCCTTCTTCGTCATTCGTTGCCATTTGCTATTGCCCTCCGTGAAAGAGAAAAATACAAACACAAAATTATTGTAGGTTAATAACTAAAACATGTAATGCCCTAATGGAACAGCATTCATAATTGTTATTGCACGTAAGTCAGATTGTTTGGAAAATTAATGAGCACATGTGGATCAACAGTGATTTCACATGCTCAAACTTGATTTGATTGGTGACAGATGTACATTTTTAATGCTTGATTTGAGGATTTGTATATTTTATAATAGTCAGGCCTCACCAGCCTTCACTTTTCAAAAGATTCTTTTGTGCTGTGTGGAAATAATTTTGTTACACAGCCTTCTATGGCCAATGGTCTACCAACAGGCTTCTAAATAGTGTGCAATCTGTACTAATCTGTGCCCCCACCACATTTCATGATAGATTTTGTTGGCTGAAGGGCCTTTTTATATTTTTTTACAAGTTTCATTATACAAGTTATCATGAGCATTCACAAAACATGAAAATGACTGATAACTAAACACAACACACAAGTAAGCAACAGCACTAATGATGATTTAGACAGTAATGAGACAGATAATTTAGACTACTCCTTTAAGCACAGAAGGAGACTAAGTGCACACCAAGATGCTAGTTGCAATAAAAGATGTCAAACTGTAAAGAGACTCCTGACTGACATACAAGCAAACACTTTGTACATTAACCTTGCACTTGTGTACAGTCAAAGACCATATTAGTAAAAACAAGAAATCTACAGGCAGTGGACAAAAAGAAATACCACGGTAAATTCACAAGGTCACCATGTGAAGCAGGGTAAGAGTCTGCAAGTGACCGGAATTCGGCAGAATGGAAAATTGCAGAACCACCACAGCCCTTCACTGTTGGACCAAAGAACCTCAAGGCTTTAGGAGTCTTTAGGTTGGAGCCACATGTGCACTTCTCTGTATATTAAAAATATGCTGAAGGATGATTCATCTGCCAATATCCCATTTCTCTAATAGTTAGCAGTCTATTGCTGGTGCTCTTTGTAACAGTAATCTCATAAACATGCATTGCCAGGTGTGATAAGCAGTTTGTGGACTGCAACCCAACTGTAGTATCATGCTCTAATACCATATGGCCATGCTAACCATAATTACAAGCATTTATGCTTGTTTCAACATTCTTGTACTTCTCCCTAAGAATGCTAAGGTGTTATTTACTTAGAAGCACGAGACACACCTGTATGGAAGCTCTTGCTCTCAATATACAGTACTTGGTGTCCCTCGTGTACCCAGATGTTTCTGTTTTTTGTCCACTACCTGGAGGTGTCAAAGTGAAATGTTTGCATGCATCACACCACAGAAATCATTTCCTCCAAAACAGTGTTCACACTGTACAAAGAATGCCCATTAATTGCTCAAATAAAAGTGAATGAGTCATGCAAAGGTTCTGTAATTTGATGCCTATCTGCCTAATCAAGATTCAGGAAGCACATCTGAAATTTGAAAACTGTGCCTAGAACTCCTATAGATAGTATAGAAAGACACACCAAATATTTTCTTTTAAAATTGTTACAAGAGGGGTTAAAAGCAGTCCATTCGGTCTACATTGTAGAGATTAAATACCATCTTTTAAGAGCAACAGCTCTGACCTTGGTGTCCTAACTACATACTGTTCTGGCATGAATGTCATGTTCCTGTAATGGATGTACAGTTTTCCCCTTACCAATTCATGTTTCATACTGCCTTTGGTGACTAGCTGTTTGGTTTGATACAGAAGAATAACTACCATGTTACATCCTGGGTATTTATAATGTGTTTTGTGATCCTTAGCTGTATATAACAAATTGCTACATAAAAGAAAGCTGCATTTTGTCCAAATTTAAGGAAATTTTTTAAGTGTGTGGTTGTGCAATTTCTCTTTAGAATATACTTGAAATGTGCCAATAAGGAACACTGGGCATTACGGTACACCATCAGACACCAACTTCCCATAAATTACAAAATGGGAAAGGCAAAATACTTTTTCAAAACCACACAAATCTGTGCCGAAATATAAACTTTTCTGGTGGTCTGTTTTAATTAAAATTCAAACCTCATGATGCAATCCCTTTGGTAAAGATTAGCAGAAGGCCTTCTTTGGTGGAATAAAACCAAAAGAGTAGTTTTGCTTATTTGAAGATCAAAAAATCTACCTCACGCTTCAGACTCATTGTGTCTGAGTGCCCCTAAAGGGACAGCAAGGCCACTTGATGTTCATATGAAAGATCTTTTGTGTGGTCAAAAAAATGCCACACTTGAACAAGTTTTGCTTAACTGAAAACAGATTTTGGTAAACTATCATCTACTTACACCACATCCTATGCTTGAAGCAACCTACTGCTTGTCTTCGGAACTACTTTCCCTGCCACAGATGGATTGCAAACCAATTAAAATCTGACAGTTACACTAATTCTTCATTTTGTATTAAAAGGTTCACTCTTTAGAGTTCTATACAATTGTAAAAAATATTACCCCTTGCTGTTAAATCATTTAACTTAACTCTATGATTGTGAAAATGAGGTACTTGATACATTCAGAAGACATACCATTTTCAAACAGGTATAATGTAATAAGAAATTTGTTAAACTTTAGTGACTTGCTGGGGATGGTAGGTGCCACTTATGTCTGAGGCCCAGATCAAATCAAAACTTGGGCACCACTAAACTCAAATTTTAAAACAAGCACTTGATGATGGATGATTACAAAAAGCCTATTTCTTTCACCTGCATGGTTTGTATTTTTAACTAGATGGTAGATTGAAATTCTGATTTGGTTCTGGCCAAATTACAAGCACCAAAAGACTCAATTAAAAGATCCTAATAGGTTTTGTGTACAAGCAGACAAGTGCATCTTTACATAGCTGTGCTCTAAAACACGTGTTACTATCTCTGAGCAGCAATAAGGTACTCTACCTCATCTGCAAGCCTCAGCAGCATACGCAGAAACCTGCCCAGGTGACACTGTCGTGCAGAAAGCTCTCCTCTCCCTGAATAATCTGTTCTGTAGAGGGCTGTAGCACTGTCCACTATAAGCAAAGCATACCTGGAAAAAAAAAGTTAGATAAAGGTAAATTCACACCAATTAGACATGACTTCTAACTGAGACCTATTTCCCATTTCTAGAATTCACGGGTTAAATGGCATTTTAAGACCATATTCCTTAACGGGGTCAAAAAGAAAGCAACAGTTTCGATAGGAGAAGCAGTGATGTTCACTAGAACTGCAGAGAAGAACAAATGTACCAATTTTAAGGCCACAGTAAGCGCTGGACAATTGTGTTTTACATTACAAATCCCATTATGGCAGAAACAGCTGATTGCAACTTTTACTTGCAATCAGTATATGTCTCATTCCCTTATGGCCAAACTGTTTTCATTATGTGTATTGCTGACAATGCAGTCTAGCTCTCCGTTTAATCTAATGAAATGTGACAAACCCTCATGCTCATTACATAGAAGCAATGAACAGTTTATCCTCTAAGGACTTGAATTCCTTGTTTAGATACTGTACATCTCTGTGAAAGTTGCACGAGACGGAGTTTAAGTCTTCAACGCCAGAATCTCCTAATTAATTTGAACATTTAAGGCTTTTTAACAGAAACTGATAGTCTTAAAGAATCTTAATTAATGGTAATTTGGCAGAACCCCCAAAGTAAGGACTTTGGAACTTTGTAGTGACAGCCTGTTTTTGCTCAGTGCAAAACAGTGCTTTAACAATTTAAAGCACTTTGGACTGCTTTAACAATAGTGTTTCTCGCTGAACAGGAATACTAACAACATGGAAATAATAGCATGAAGCTTATTCCTTCTACATTACCATTGTGAGTGACAAAAGAGGTTTGCCCCAAGGACAAACCAAATTAAACATGTTCAACTGTGGCAAACAGTTGTATTCACATATTTCTTTTTTATAGGCTGTGATGTGGAAGTTGCTAAATTTGCTCAAGTTCATTCATGAGTTGAAAGCTCCTTGTGACAGCTCCACGTGGCACACTCCATCCATAAATCAGGCATCACTGTTTTCTCTCAATCACAAAGAATACATGCTATTTTCTTGGTTTCAGTTTTCGCTTCCCTTGCATACGTTATTGTTGTAAATGCAAGAGACAGCTGTTGAACAGGTAGAGTGCTTCCGGACACTCCAAGTACGACATCACAAACAATACCTTGACAAGCCAGTTTTCACCATGTGGCAGTGCACCGCAAAGTAGTTAGAAATGCGGTATTTGTGCTAGCATAGAAAACCAAGAACTCAATAGGAGAGGTAAAGCAACGTAACACACTGAGTCATTTCACATTTACCAAAAAATTAACCATAAATATTTATAAAAAGTAACAATCCACCTCGTTCATAAAATTTAAGACTAATATACTTCAAAAACAATGGCTATTTGTTGCTAAGCATCAGCGTCAATGGTAAGCATAAACAAGCTGAAAAACTAGATTTTGCATCCTCATTCAGTTTATTTGTATTTGTTTAAATAGGACAAAAGCTACCAATGATCTTGGAAGAAAACTATTTTTTGAGAATTGCCCCTCTATTCATATACCACAGATTGCCGATATTTCTTGATTTTAATTTACATACAAAATAAATATTACCTAGATTCTGACATCATTGCCGAGGCTTGGTACAACAGCTGGGTTTGGTGGTCTGTGTTAAATGCTCTGGCGTAGGCTACGTTATCAAGAACATCACTGCCAACCAATCCATACCTAGTGAAAAAAAAAACACATTAAAATGTTTTTAGAGAGAGACAAATGAATTGTACATTACACCAAAGTAAAAAAAAGCATATTAGTTATTTATCAAAGGAACATTTGATATCTTAATGATATCAAACATCTTACAAAGACATCTGCTGTTAGGTACTTTTTTAAGTTCAACCTTTATTCAACCTTTTGGAGCTGAGGAAAGTATGAAATTAATGTGACACTTCTTAAAAATGACGCAGGTATGAAAATTTCAAAGATTACCACAACATCTATAATTCAGCTCACGGTCATTTGGAAGAGAAAGAAATTAATTAAATATGTCTCAATTACATTTGAGGCTTTTTGTTATGTGTGGTGTGCATCAGCAAAAAATCTAAACTGCTTTATTTAATAATAATAATAATTGCTTACACTTATATAGTGCTTTTCTGGACACTCCACTCAAAGCGCTTTACAGGTAATGGGGACTCCCATCCACCACCACCAATGTGCAGCTCCACCTGGATGATGTGACGGCAGCCATAGTGGGCCAGAACACTCACCACACATCAGCGGGGAGGAGAGCAGAGTAATGAAGCTAGTTCATAGATGGGGATTATTAGGAGGCCATGATTTATAAGGGCCAATGGGAAATTTGGCCAGGACGCCAGGGTTACACCCCTACTCTTTTCGCAAAACGCCCTGGGATTTTTAATGACCACAGAGAATCAGGACCTCGGTTTTACATCTCAGCGTCTGTCACTATACTGGGGCATTAGGACCCACATGGACCGCAGGGTGAGCGCCCCCTGCTGGCCCCACTAACAGCTCTTCTAGCAGTAACCTTAGTTTTTCCCAGGAGGTCTCCCATCCAGGTACTGACCAGGCTCACACCTGCTTGGCTTCAGTGGGTTGCCTGTTGTGAGTTGCAGAGTGATATGGCTGCTGGTCAAACGGTCCTGTTTCTTCTACCTTAAAGTCAGTGATTTTAAATGTACCATCTTCAACAATGGATTTCAGAGTTATGAAATCATTTAGATTTGAGATATTTAAGTTAGAGATGTTTGTAACAGTAACATCTTGATTACATTTATCAGCGTCTAAAATATCAGTGTCTAATAAATACCGACAACATTTTCACAAATACCCACCATTTCATCTCCAGTGGAAATCCATTTTGCACTGCATTTTACTTTTACAATACAAATGACAACTGAAACAAGATGAATTTCCAAAGAAAAATACTAAACTCTCAAACTGTATCAAAGCACTATCTTGGGGGAGACAATAACATAAGTAGAAAATGTAAAGGGTATGTTCGAGATCTTTGGCAGAACACCAAGACAAAGCTTGGGAAAACCCAGGGCTTCCCAGCTCCTAAACCACTTATTATCAACTCTGTAAAGTGCGATCCCTAACTAGCAGTTATCAGCTCTGTGCAAATCACACTGAAAAAACATGAAAGAAACAGTCATGTCAAACATTTTAATCTGAATAATTACTAAGGTGTTCAGCTGCATTTTTACGTAACTTAGAAAGGAGATTAAGGTTTTAATACTTATCCAAGTTCTGTACCATGAAGTCTTCCACCTATTTTCCACAGTTAAAAGTCTAGACATGGTGTAAAAAGTAATACGATGGTGTAACTGCACTCAGGATGACAGTGATGATTTTTGAAAAGTATTGGAGTTTCTTATCATTTTTGCCTTGCACATATGGAATGGCAGGCATTACAGAGATCACAGGCAAATTGTATACCAAAATAAAATTGAACAAATAAAATGAAAAAATATCCTACTGTTGGAATAAAAAAAAAAGATTGGAATACTGAAGGTCAGCCATGCAAGCTTTTGCTAGCTCCTGCGTGCAGTGTAATCAGATCTTTAAAAGTTCCAGTTGCAGTGCCCCTGACCCTCTCCCCCAGGGCTCAGTGGCAAGAAAGGCCAGGCTTTTAATGAGCAGCTGGATGGTGTGCTGCTACAGTCTGACAGGGACTGAGTGACCTGGGGCTGGCTACAAGGGAGAACAGGAGGCCAGCAGGCCACACGATCACAGAGAGAGAGTGAGACCTCATTACGAGGCTCAGGGGATCCCCCATACAGTTCACAACGGCATGCCGTGAGAAGGGGCGAGTGTGCTGTAGCACAGAGAAGGAAGCGTGAAATCCTATTTAATAGTCACAGAAAGATTTCTTTTGCAGGCCTTTTCACCATTTTTTCCTCTTTTATGTCTGTGTAAACAAACTTAATAAAGCTGTGTAACAAATGGTTAAAAGAAAAGGCTTAGAAATCTCTTACCTGCAGTAATTACATACTTATTCTGAACATTGACTAATATGCACAGACTTGGAATACCTAGTGTTTAGAGGCAGCAAATAAAGCAGCTTTTATAATTCAGCTGCCTTTAATACATGGAGCAGACAAATTGTTAGTTAGGGACTTCCCTGAGGTTTGCAAGTTTAAGTTCTGCGTGACTAAAAAAAATGCAAGGTTCTTAATGTTTATTGTTATAGTAACTTTAAATGAACCACTTATTTTACACACTCATTTAAGCACCTTTATAAATCCCAAAACAAACACAATACCCTTTAATTTGCCTGAATAAGTGTAATTTAAAGGTCGTAGAAGTGACATATGATAAAGCAGTACATTCACAGGTGCCTCAATTTTAAAGCACTAAACATATGGCTATTGTTCATCTGTCCTACAGTCACGCAAGAAATGCCCCATATTCAGACCTCTGCTGAAGTTTTATAGCAGGCAGTGCGAGTGCTAGACACTACAAAGGCACCAGATTGACATCAACTTAATTCATAAAGTTACTGCCAAATAAATCATTCTGACAATAGTAAAAAAAAAATCAAATATAATATGCTGCAAGACAAAACACCACTCTATTTATTATAAAGCTTTTTATCACAACTCTTTGTAGCATGAAAAAGACTAATTTGTCAGTGTGCTGAACTCATTTGTAAGTTAACAGTAATATTTTATGCGTTGGGCCAGATTTTGTTCAATACATAAGGTATATAAAGCCTAAAACAAGTACGAAGGAGTAGAACAAGATGAACTGATACTGAAATTTGGTCATTTAGATGTTTAACTTGAGACCAATGTTATTTATCTTGTTCAGCACTTATTGTGAACTTGTATTTCTGATCCTTTTCATGTAACTGTTATTTCTGTTCATTATATTTTCAGCACTGTTTCACACCATTTTATTAACTAGGAAAGAATTAAATCAATTCATATCAACACTCAATCACAAAATATCATTCATTACACCAGTAATATTCTCCTCTGTAACAGACATCATACAAACTGACATAAAATAAGACTTTGTTTCCTCTACTATCAAAAGAAATTCACAGTAGTTATGTATTTTTAAACCAAAACCCCCTTCCTTTATCAGTATTTGATTCAAAAAGAAATGGAATTTATGGAAATTGAGTTTTATTTTGTTGAACCGGATTTGAAGGCTAATGGCCAGATTCTTCATGCATTTGTGTGTCAAAACCACAGCACATAAAACAATAAAAGTGCACAATTTAGTCTAATTTGTATTTACATATTCAGTGCATTCAGCCTAAGAAGCCAGAAGTATAATGCTAGTAACATACACTGCTGTTACAATCTGATTTTATAGCTCAGGAACAAAAGCTTAAACAGAAGACAAAAGCCTAGGAGTATGAACATTAGTTTGAATATGTAGATGCAGCACTTCTGAACGCACATAAAAGTACAACAGATGGCATGAGACAAGAAACTCTGCTTTACAAGCTAAAAAATAATCAAATTAAAAAAAATATATGGTTCAACTGTATAGTAAAATAAACTCTAGGTCCTATGATTAACAACTAAGGACCTCCATATTTAAGTTGATCTGGCAGGCTGTCATTGCCAGAATCCTAAAAGTGGTATATTATTTATGGTTTGCTTATGATAATAGAAGCAGTCAATTTTAGATGTAAGAACCTAAATCACTAGGTATATAATTTTAGACTAAAATCTACTGTATATAAAGCAACATAGTCCAGGAACAATTGATCTTGACCAGAATGAAATGAATGTCACATTTAGGGTTACAATATCCGAAGACACCAAAATCATCATTTTTGATTTTTGTAACAATAACATTTGCTGTTGTTTTTTTTAAACAAAAAAAGTGCTGAACAAAAAAAAAAAAGAATCCCACAAGTATGTTAAGACCAGAGCTGTCAGTAGCACAACTTTTTCTTGGAAGGCTAGGTTTCAAAACATTGGAAAAAAAAAAAACATCTTGGAAAGTTTATTTGAAATGTGCTGAGGTATTACTTCCTTATTCTTCAAAGAGTTTCAAAAAGAAAACTCAATAAATAATTACTGAAAATTTGGCTGAACCACTACAGACAAATAGACTGTCTAAAAGTGAAAGAGGTTCAATTTATTTGGATGCATATGACCTCCAGAAGGGACTCAGAAGTAAGGAAGCGAGTTCCAGTGATTGCTGTGGCCGAGCTCGTTTAACAAACCCCACATTTGAAGGGATTTAAATCCGTGCAACAAGAACAACAGGAATCAAACAGGCCTCAAGGAAAACCCACCCAGCCTTCCCACAGCATATGTGCAGATGCCAGTTCAGATAAAAGGCCTTGCTCTGCTTTACTCAGGCATACTCAATATCACACTCTCAACTGCTACTTCCCTTCCATTTAACGAATAGTGAAGGGAAAGAGTTTCATTTTCATTAATGAAGTGCCTGGAAAAACCCTGAATAGAACACCAATGGTATATTACTTTCATTTGTACATTTAGAAAATGTACAAACCACTTTATAGTCCGTGGACCAAATAGTTTGGGAACAGTCAACACTAACATCTTTCCTTTTTCTACCCCCAGACTTAAAGGTTGCATTTCTACCTTTCATCAAGACTGCATTTAAAAAAAAAAAGTTAATATTTTGAACAAGTTAAAGCAAAAGGAAGTCTTACCTCCCCAATGGTTTTCTGAAGTAGCTTTCTGACCCAACAACCTGAAGTCATTCTTGAGCTATTTAATCAATCTTGAGCTTCCAAAACATCTACATATTTTTGCTTCTGGTGTTGTGAAACAGTCAATTAAAATTGGCATATATCATGATGCACAGCATTTTTTCTAGTAGAATACTGTAATGGTATTCCTTGCAGAACACACACAAAAAGTGCTTGTAAAATTGCACGTCCCAAATTAAGTGCTAAAGCACATGTTTTAACAAGTGTGTGCTTAAAGTAACTGCTCCAGTGGGAACACATGTATACTACTGTTTTTGATGTGCAAAAAATACATATAAACATATTGACACTTGCAAGAAACAGAAAATTTAGGAGAAGACCTTTATTATTTATTTCGAGCAATGGTGGAGACCAAACACAGGTCGAATAGAATCAGATGAAAAAAATAAAACTCCAGGACCATTTGGCCAGCTTTCCACTGTCATAGTTCTTTCATTCCCTGATGTGTTTTTTGTATTCACTGAAGTCTAGATAGGTCCCAGTCAAACGTACTTTACAAATTGGCAACCATGAATAGCATGTTGTCATAGAAACATAACCCATGTAAAGCATTCATATAGGAGGCCATTTAGAAAAATCACACCTGTCTGCAACTGCCAACAGTCTCTCGGGTCGGAAGGTCCCCTCTGTGTCAATGTACATGGCTTTTCCCTCTCCACCACCTTGGTCAATTGGCAACTAGGAGACAAGAACAACAACAATCCTTTCACTTAATGGTTTATCATTTGAAATGCACAATATCTTTTACAGGAGTGATTCTCAGTCCAGGTCTTGAAGGACAACCGTCAGCTTATCCAAATGATTTCTTAAAGGGAAACTAGAGTCCTAATTTCTCAGACCAATTATTTAATATTGTTTTTTCAATGTCCAAATTAGGCACAGAATTGTGAACTTTGTGAAAGTAATGGATAGTCATAATTTTGTCAAGAGTTTGCGAGACCTGCGATGTGAAGCGGCCCTTCCTGCTCACTAATCACTGGAATGACTAATGTAATGTGATGTACGAGCGTCTAAATACAGGATGTGCAGACAGTTCACTACCGAAATGTTCTAACAGAATCCACATGCAAAGTTAACAAATAAATTGTATTTGTTGGCAAAACTGTCTTAAAGCTGAGATAAATATTTATTTTGGGATTAAAAGAGATGTATTCGCAACCCTACTTGTTTACAATGTAATAGAGCTGCTTCACCTCACTAGACGTTTGTATACCTGGATATTTTGTCTATTTTGGAATGTAAATATCAGGTTTTACATGTCACTGTGTACATTTTATGTTCACTGTGATTTGAAATGCACCATCTATGCTGATTATTTCTAACCAAAAATATAAAAATAGCATTACATCTGAGAATACTGCAAAAATGGCTTGTCAAATGACAAACCACATCAGAACACTGACTCCAGTCCCAATCTGTCTGACTTCTACAGGATGGCCAGTTCTTAAATTCACATGCATATATTATCTGTCAAAGCTTCACCCTACAATAAAAACTGAAGTATACAGATATAACTGAAAAAGAAGAGTGTACACAAAGTTTAAATGACTAATAAATTCTTTCAGCATGTTAAACATTTATATATATTAATAAATACCTGACAAGTCACTGCTAGAGTGTGGCAAAGCTGGGTCTTTCCTGTTCGGAACTCTCCAAACATTTCTGTAATTGAACCAGTTTCTATCCCACCTGAAAAAAATGGAAATACTATACATTAACTATGACCACGACACAAAAGGTGTCACTAAGCACTTCCCCGCTTAATAAATGTAAAAAATCTAATACTTTCAGATAAGCCAAACATACATAAGATTATTTACTTTATTCAAAAAATTTGGGAATATATATAGCTCATTTGGCTCGTCAGAAGCTAATTCATCCAAGAATCTAATAAAAGATTTTTTTTTTTTTTTTTTATGAAGCCAAAATATCAACTTCAAAAACACTGCTGGGTGTTTTCTTTCAAACTCCGGTGACTTTTTGGAACAAGGACTGCTTCCTAATCTCAAAAAGTTTGTAATTTGATCCCCTTATTTACCCTTGTATCCCCTGGTTTGTGTTTCACTTTTGATTCTGACAAAGTTGATAGGACTGCCATTGTCTTTCCTATTTGGAGATTTTGTAGTTTTCTCTGTTAGACTAAAAAGATTCAATATTTTCGGTCTTAGTAGGACATTCCTTCAAAGCACAGGAATGTATCCAGTTGTTTTTGTTTGGTTTAAGTTCAAAGCAGCAATATATTTTCTGAAGTGAAAGTGAAGAGACTAAAATTACACACAATATTCTAAACAGTCTTTCTAGGACATTGCACTTTTTTAACATAACCAAAATTTAAATTATATGCTTTCATGTATATCTTACCATTCTGTTCGATTTTTTAAATAAAACATATTGGTAGGCAGCCAAAAGGGCATACCCATAAATTTGTCAATTTTTTACATTTTCCAAACTAATTGTATAATTTAGCACACAGATTGAAGAATCAGTGTGGGATTCTTTCTTTTTAGACAGCTGCTGACAAAGTCTCTTGACAATTTAGAAGGGAAATCTTGATCTTTACAAGCCCGTGAACACGCAAGGTAGGACCCAGACAGCATAAATGTCCTACCTCCGTCCTTCGGATGAGACGTAAAACCGAGGTCCTGACTCTCTGTGGTCATTAACAATCCCAGGGCGTTTCTCGAAAAGAGTAGGGGTGTAACCCTGGCGTCCTGGCCAGATTTCCCATTGGCCCTTACCAATCATGGCCTCCTTATAATCCCCCTCTATGAATTAGCTTCATTACTCTGCTCTCCTCCCCACTAATAGCTGATGTGTGGTGAGTGTTCTGGCGCACTATGGCTGCCGTCGCATCATCCAGGTGGGGCTGCACATTGGTGGTGGTGGATGGGAGTCCCCATTACCTATAAAGCGCTTTGAATGGAGTGTCCAGAAAAGCGCTATATAAGTGTAAGCAATTATTATTATTATTATGATAATAACAATGTATTGTCCTCACCGATATGAAATACTATGTGAACTGTAAAGTTTTCTGCAACTGTAAATATCTGCAAAGGATCTGCAATCTCACAATAAAACCACATTATTAAACACAGCCACCTTTTTATGAAAGTTATACTGGTGCCAATATACAAAGAGAGCCATGCTTTGCTGTGGTTTAATCATGTGCTAGTAAAAATAACTCAAACTCATACCGCCTGCCTTGAAAACGTGACTTGTTTAAAATTGGTCAATGATTTCTCATTTAAAAAAAAGAAAATTATTGTAACTTTATCAATCAAGGGCTTCCTGTACCTGATTACACTCCTAACAAGAAAAAATGACCAATCAAAAAAATCAATGGCATTGTCAGTATATATAGCAAATTAAAATTATATGCCAAGTGAATTTGGATCTAGGAAATTATATATTGATGCAGCCTATTCATATAAACAAAGTTGTTTATGTTTCATGAATATTTAATACATATGAATGGAACTGTACTATACATTCATTCAACTATAAGCTCCAGGAACTGTAAAATTTTAATAGAACACATACTGTATATACATGCAGTAGCATTAATACTAACTTTAACCTGGACTCATTGTTTATCACTTGATGCATATTAATTACCATTCTGTACTACCTCGAGGTATAGTAATTACAATAAATTACAAGTAAAATAAATAGAATAAATGAAGTTTAACAGCTATACAGTACAATCATCTGGACGGACCAATAAAAATAATCTATATTGTATTTACATTCTTTTTATTTTAATCTACTCAAATGTTTTCTTTAAACTGGTGTTAACTAATCAAAGTAAGTATCATGAACTTCATTAAGACTTTTTTTAGCCACTTACAGCAGGCAGCTTATAAAAAGTTAAAAATGAGGCAGAGAAATGTTTTTCACCTCTGTGCCAAAAAAAATTGCAGGTCCAACAATAACTGTTGGCACTTCCACTAATTGTAAAACTGTAAAATCATGCTGGAAAACCTTTAACTAAATGTTGCCTGTCGACTTCTAGAATGTCTAGGACATAGACTCAACAGTAAATGAACACTCTGATAATCATTTTATAATGTTAAGGAGGGTAGGGTAATATTACTTATACAAAATGCTATTTTTGGCAAAGGTTCAAAGGTTATTATTTCTTAAATGGGCACAGATTGTTTTATTTCAGACAAAATGTCTGGCTATCTGAGATGTTTGTTGTGGAAAATGAGCTTCTCAATTTGAACCCACCATGACTAATATGTAGCATAATGTGTGCAGCAGCTTTTAAGGAAACAGTAGGCTATAATATTGTTCGGATTCATAGTCATATGAATGCACCTAAAGTGCTTGTCTGAATTGTAAGCGGGCCTAACTAATGGTAAAATATTTTTAGATAGGAGTTTAAGGCTGAAAATAATAAGACAAAGACCTCTTAGTCCATCTTTCTATTTTAAAATAGAGGAGTTACAGCCTATCACAACAAGCAAAAGGTGCAAAGTGGGATACACCATGGACAAGATGCCAGTCCATCGCAGGACGCACGCACACACGCGCACACGCACGGCCCAGAAGCAAATTGATCCACCAGTACATCTTTGGACCTTGGGAGGAAACCAGCACACCATGAGGAAACCCACACCAACAGGGGGAGAATATACAAATATATTTCAATATAATGTATATTACATACATATACAAATATATATCCACACAGATAGCACCTCAGGAATTGAACCCAGGGCTCCAGCACTGTGAGGCAGCAATGCTGACCACTGCACAACCTTGCTGCCCGACCTTCTAGTCTCGATCAGCAATTTCTAGCCTAGATCTTCTCATCTCACCCATTCCCTTTTGGTCTCCCAATAGACAAAACGGTACTGTGTATTTATAATTCATCTAAAAGTGTAGAAGCAGACTAGCCCAGCCTATACCAAAAGACGTCTGAAAGGTGTTTCTCACGTGTAACTTGACAGGATAAACACAGCAACTAAGCTAAAAGTTTTTGGAGACAAGAGGACCAAAGAGACAATGGTCTACTTTTTTTTTTACATTCCTTTGCTTCAACTCCCTCCAATTTGAAACATCAATTTTACAAGTAAACAGTTTCCGACCAAATGTAAGACCACATTCTTTAGCCTAGGCCTCAAATCCCAAATTTAAACCTAGAAAGTCTAAAAACCTCACCACAATGACTGCAAATGCTGTTAAGAACTTACAATCCCCACAAAAAAAAAAAAACACTCTATGAGCTTCCCCTAATTGGTAGAACCCCTGTTATAGTCTTCTGAAGAGGTCAGGACATTATGACAAACTCCCCCCCTCAGCCCACCACATCAGAAAGAGCGGATACTGTAGTTTTTAAGGAAAAACAAGATGCAACAGATGCAGTGGAAAATGGTCCACTGTCAGAGGAGGGGCAGCACAACTACCCACAAAGACAATTAAAGAACAAAGAAATCTTTTTTAAGTGCCACTGTGCAAAGAAAGAAAGACCCCAAGAAAGGGAGCAATCTCCAAAATCATACAGAGCACCACCATCCTGTAATCCTGCTTAGTATATGGTTTTGGCAGTATTAAAGAGGATGCGCTGCAAGTGGTGTCATCATCTTTAATTCACTCCTTCTCCTGGATCACCTCTATATCAAGTGTGCAGCTGAGCTTGGAGTAAAAGTAAAGTTTTGAGGTCCATCCAAATTTAAAGTCTTGCAGCTGCCTTTTCTCCATTACTGATGCAATATAAAACTATAACTGGCACCATGCTTGAAAATAAAGTATAATTCCATGACACAAGATTACAATGAAACAGCATTTAGGCAAAAGGTATCAAGCATATAATTCAGGTGTTTAATATCAGGTCTCCCTTCTTCAGCTCATCACCAATGTAAATGTCATGTCTTCTAGAGTTCACCTGCAGCTGATCCTTACCAGCTATGTCAATTACAAAGCACAGTGTGAAGGCTGGTTTGGAGGTTAGTAGTGCCTTTACTGTTTAAAATTGGTTGCCCTTACAGAGTGATTACTTCACAAAAATGCCATTTGTATATAAAATGAAGTGGTTTCCTTGAAGTGCAAGTGGTACAGTATGTACCATAGGATCAGGGGGTTATAATCACTGATTTTAAGAAACAAAGACCCTTTGAGGTCCATAACAGAGGACATAATTTAGGATTGGATATTCACAAAAATCTTTTAATGGCATAAGCTCTCACCTTGTAGCAGCTTGTCAAGCTCTTTGGATCCTGTGGTGATCTGGATGATCTCAGCTCTACGCTGATGGAATTCTGTGGCTGTAGTAAACCCCATTGGTACCTGTTTTGCAGCTTCGGCCTGTAGTAAAAAAATTGTGGTAATAGACCATTTGAAAAGATCACAAAATTCTTGCCATGCAAACACCACAGGTCAAAGATGAATTTCAACTGAAAAACAAGTTGTACACTTTGCTTAGATCTCACTGGTGTAATTTACTTTTACAAAAGAACTTACTACATTTTTGGATGTTTTATCTGAAGCAGTTCAAAGGAGCTTCTTCTCTTCAGTTCCCTTTAGTATAGGTCCCATTTATGAAGGAAAACAAAACTTCATTCAAAAGCTACAATTCTTGGCAGAGAATTATAGTCTTTATCTTCAATCTCAAGAAGGGACTATGATGATTTTGATTAATAAATTCAGGACTTCTATAGCAGTAAAAGCCACAGGTCAACCAAAGCACATAACATAAGACTAGACAAAACGAGATCAGGAGGAAGAGTATATAAACATGGCCTACCAGAAGTTTCTCAGCTTTAGCTTCACTGATTCCTTTGATGTTCAGCAGTTCCTTCTTCGGTGCATAAGCCACTGCCTCTACCGTGTGGAAGCCAGCCTCCTCCAGCTTCTTGATGTCACTTGCACTGATCCCACATTGCTGTGGAAAGACAATATAAAATAATGACTGCCGACAAAGCGAAGGGCAAGATAATGCACTGCACACACTACCGCAGATCTCTAGATAGAGGACACCCCTTTGCAATTCATTTAGGAAAAACTAAAATTCCAAAGAACTTTGGGACACACTGAGTTGTATAGAAGGTGTAAGAGATATTTTGTTACTTGTAGAGTTTCACTATAAATTGAGGTAGTGCAGAATGCTAATAGAGTACTATTACTATTAGTATTTTCAGTAATTATGATCTTGAGATTAGGATGAGGATTAGTGTATGAGTGAGTAATATGCATATAAGCCCTAACCTATCTATAGATGCTTTATTATCATTCTATATAACTTCAATTTATAGTTGATGGCTAATATATTATATAGATATTGGTATAAATATCTAAATGGAACAGGTAAAGGTTTATTTCATGCTGAAAGAAAAAGAGAATGTTTCAACTGTGGAGCCTTCTGATGCAGCTACTTACTTGAACTTGTACAAATATATACGTTCACTATATGTAAACATATCTGCTAAATACTTTAAGTGTTACAAACCTTTGCAATGATGAACGAGAACAAGATATTTGTAAAAAGACTGGTGACAACAAAACATATTTTTTTCCCCGTGGTAAGAGAAAATAAGCAACTTACAAACCAGAAAATTCCACAGGGTCTGTATCTGATGTTATGTTCCATTTATCATCACTACTATAGACACACAAGTGCTACAAGATACACAACACACAGCAGTGACCTGTCTAAAACCATACCTCCAGTCTGCTCAGTGGTTGAGGCCCAAAGTTCTCCTCCACTTCAACCTCCTCTCTGGTGTCACATCTCATGGCCATTCTGGAAAACCTTTGCGTCTGTATACAGTATGTCAAAACAGACTAAATGTAAGCATTCAAGACTAGGAGGGCAGCAATTACCCATCCATTTTCTGACCATTTCTTCCAATGCAGGGTCGAGGGAGAGCCGGAGCTTATCCCTGAAAGCAGCAGGCAATAAGCAGGGTACACCTTGGACAGGACGCCCGTCCATCGCCAGGCAGACACAGACACGCACACATCCACACCAAGGACTGACTTTCCTAGAAGCCAGAGCACCCAGAGGAAACTCACACAAACACAGCAAGAACATACAAATTCCACACAGATAGCACTCCAGATCTGGGCTGAATTAAATGGGCTCAAAAATGAACTTAGTTTTATTCAGGGAGGGTTTGATATTAAAGGCAAATTTCCCTTAGCAGAAGCTAACTTGTGATCATTTTATAGTAGGCCTAAGTTAAAAAACAAAACAAAGCGTTTGTAAAATCACCATCCATGCTACTTCTACTATTAGACTTCCAATCAAACCTCACAGAATAAGGATATTCTGTACATATTGCCAAGTAAAATGACCACTAAAATATAAGGCTGCTAATATAAAATAAAGTATATTTTGACCAATGTGGTCAAATGTGGTACACTTATAAACAGGCGTACAATTTCTGTTCCAACAAACTGCATAAAACATGCACAAGGTTGCTTAAATGCGCTTAATTCATAACTCGTGACAGTTGTCTTTTTGCCAAACACTGAAGAAATGCAGAAGCTGAAGGAGTTCACACTACCGAGTCTACAGTGTAGAGTGAGCGGTGGCATTTAGCATTTCAGTACAGACCTCCCCTTTGTAGGATTAGATCAAATAGTCAGAGGCCCTGTTCTGAAGGGAATACTATAAGGCGTATCACAAAAACACTAAAGTCACGTAAGCCGATATATACACGTATTGCATATTATGAAGCCATAGATTGAAACTAGATTTTCAAATGTTCGCTTACACTATCTAAATATGGTCAATCTAACCAAATTGGCCTATATGCTATTAAGTGAAGAACAGGTAAGAAAACCACTAATAACGGTCCAGTTTAGCTTCCAAGCCCTCTGTTTGCAGTAAATCTTCTGAAAAAAACATTAAGGAACAACACAATGTTATGTAACCTGGACGTGTATTGAGGAATAGTACAGTACCTTTGTCTCCTTTGGACAACTTAAAAGAATGTTAAATCTATCTTCAACGCGCTTCTAATGTAATTCCTCGGGAATAATACCGTGACTTGAATGTCACTTTGAAATCATTAAACACAAACTTTTTTTTGTTTCTCTGATCTGCAATGTTATTGACAAACTCACCTCCCGCTTTCTTCCTGTTCGTGGAATTCAGAAACTCCCGCGCACCACCAAGCGTCCGTGCGTGATGACGTTTTCGCCTTTCTTAAAGGAGCAGGTCCCCAAATATGAATGTTCCGTAATTTCAATTTGAAGTTTACTAATATTGTTTTGAAGCGTTCCATATTGGTTCGTGTAATTGAAAACTACGAGTGAATATTTTATTCTGCCTTCCAAAAACGATGGCGACACCAGGTGTGCAGTATTCCAGATGCGGTATAACGATGAATATATTTCTTTAACTGTTCTTGTGTCATACATTGCTGTACAGTAGGTTCAAGCCTTCAGTATGCTTTTTATTTTATTACCTAAATGGGTCTGAATACAACCACTATCTGGTTCATCCCAGTATAGATTTTGCCCGAAACCAAACAGTTTTAAGTTTTTGTTGACGAATATCGCAGCGGTCTGTTAAAAATCACATTGTGCCATTTTGGGGTGGGGGTGCGCCTTTTGAGCTGCATTGCTTTAGGAGGCTGAAAGATCATACATCAGCAGGAGCAGACTGCGAATCGGTTACTTGCCTATAGATTCTGCTTCTCTGGAGAGTCGGGCAAATTTGGTTAATTATTCCCAGGCACGCAATGCAATTCCCCTGGTAGCACTATACTGTGTTGGAAGCCTCTTTTCACTCCTGGAACAATCGTTCAAGCTTTGACTTAAAAAAATGTTTTTAATATGGCCGACTTCATTGTAACGTGATAGCAAGAAAAATATTGCAACAAAGTATAAATTAATATCTAATGTAGCCATTCCACAATCTTTTGAAAACTTGGGAATCTAGGATTTTTATTAAATGTTCTACAAATTATGGTTTTCTTGATTATTAGTAACCTTATGCGTAATAAGAGACTTATTGGCCAATAGTTACTTTGGTCGATTTTGCGACCTTCTTATGGATGGACACTGCATTACACATTATCCAGTCCATGGGTACTGACGTGCACTAACTTGTGAAACTGGTGGAAAATGCTAATTTAACAACTTTAACAAGAAAAAATAAAATGTCTAATTTTGGAGAAAAAAATTGAAACGTGTCTTTCTCATACCTACAACTCAATTTAGTTTCAATGACATTTACATTAGTAAGGTTAATTTAACAAGTATTCCCTCCAGGATGATGCAAAAGCAGCCAATGTGCACCAGTACACTCCCTCAACGTTATCTCGACATTGAAGTGTAACAGAGCCATCTAGTGGAAATGGATATGAATACACAGGACAAAAATTGCCTGTCAGACCCTCGAAACTGAAGTTCAGCAGGTCCATGCAATTCAGGTTATCACATTCTAGCCACTACCTTAAAAATCTAAATATGACATATACATATTTACTCAATATCCTTATGAAATACATCCAACATAAAATCAACAAACTATGATTAAGCAGCATAATACAAATGTTACATAATACAATACTTACAGTAAATAAAACATTTGACATTATAACCTATTCATTTCAAAGTAGAGAATAAGTAACAAAAATGAATGACATCATGAATAAAAGGATAATTAAAAAAGTAAAAGTGATTTGTAAATTAAACAAATGACCAGGTATCATTTATTGGACATTAATTCTTCAGTCAGTTTTACAATTGATGCTTTTCAAACTTGATAGCTTCCTGGGTCTTTCAATGTTGCTGTCTAAGCCACAATTATACAGTACACAATCTATGCACTAGAAAGGTCTCATTCTGAATATTGTGTACAGTACATTTAAAATCCAAGAACAGGAACATCTTTTTACCCAAAGGATTGTGAGGGAATGGAACAAATGACCCAGTTATAGTGTTGAAGCCCCTACCCTAGTTTCTTTCAAGAAATGGCTGATCAATTTCCTACCAAAGAGGCCTAATGAGCTGGACGGCCTCTTGTCATTTGCAGCCTTTATTATGATCTTCATTACACCACCTTTTGAATCTGTTGGTCATGGGAAATTCCTTAACCACAGAATCTGTTGTACAGATTGGTGAAGAGGTAAAAATGAAATAATGAAAGAACTGCATTGCAGATGTGGGACATCGAAAGTACAAAACTACAAACAGGAGGATCAATCTTTTTGTTTAGTATACCAGATATACTTTAGAAATTGGCAGCAATTTCAATTATGAACACATTTTTATAATGTAATCCTATCTAATTGCTGTTATTTTGCTGTATATTGAAGGCATCATCCAAATTGGTGTTTATTAAAGGCACTGAAGAGATTTAATAACAGGCAGTGTAGTTATGCACACTTAAAGCAAATCATGTCTGAATCTTTTTAGAAATGTTTTTATTCAACACAAAACATTGTATCTCTTTTATCAAGCTTAACTTTTCAGAAAAGCAAAATTAAGAAATAAATCTGGTTAAATTAAATACACAACAACTTCAAGCATACTTAAAATTACTTTAAGAAAGAGAAAACTAATTCCTGATTCACCTCTACTTAAAGCTGCATCTATACATATACAGAGTAAAAAAAATACATAAACGCTTACATATTTATTCAAATATACAAAGTCTACTTAAAAAATGGTAAATCCTTTGCAAATAGTAAATATCTGGAGCTATCTGATTTGTTTTATATATACAAGGCTGACTTTACAAACTGATTAGCACTAATGAGAAACTTAAATTCAGGATGTGTACTAAAAAGGGACAGTGAAGTTACAGCAAAGTTTCACTGCAAATGTCACTCAGATAAACCCACAATAGTATGTTAGTACTACACAGCATGGCTTGTTAAAACCAGGACATTGTGAAATGAAAGGCTGCGTATTATTGTAACTTCTGATTAGAGCCCTAATTAAGTTTTTACTGACTACCAAATCGGAACATTAGCTAGGCAGTAGCACTGAATACAAAAGAGAAAATGACAAGTCAATATATCAGCATCAGAAACATATGAGGGAGGCTGGAGTCTTTAGTGCACAGCTCCTCCATCCTGAGCTAAAGGTGCTCAGAAATAACATATTAGGCTTGGTGGCTAACACAGGGTTATGAAGAATTTAATCTTCAAAATAAAGTGAGTGCATATGTTAAAAAGCTTTTAAACAATGTTTTGGATTTAAAATATTTAACTCTCATCAACATTAAAAAATGGCATTGGATATAGCAGTGCTTAAAAATGGACAGAAGGCTTTGTCAGTAGGTTTAGGTGAATCTTTTCCACAATCCTGGTAAGGTAGTCGTTTTCAGGTTGAACTGCACATAGTACCTCTTCGATCTGTTCCCACCTAAGAAATAAACAGGTTTCAGATTCTAATTAGTTAATGTGAAACAACCATAAAATATTAACCTTACTGTTTTCTTATATGATACTATATGAAGGTAAACAGTGTATTCAACAGTGTATTATAGATGCCACATAAAAGAAATTGGGTTTTGTATCACTGCTGATGTGATGATATAAATACTGTGATATATTGTGAATACTACTTTGTTAAAAAGTAGGTTTGTACAATCCAAGAGACATGAAAAAGTGTAAAAATAATTTTAATGGAAAATTGTGGAGTTCAGGTTTAAAAGGGGAATGGCTAAATTGGTTCCAAGGGAAACAGAAAAATGATGGCTTATTTTTGATGATACCATTACTTTTTTGGAAATCGAGGCAATGATTAGAGACATGTATTTGGAGTCATCACATTTTTCAAAGAAAATTTGGAATGCAAAACACTAAAAGGAGGGGGTTTGGGTGCAAAAGGAATGATGTAAAAGCCAAACTGTTTAGGAATCAGTTTAAACTTGCACCCCAACACAATTTTTACTGACTTACCTTAAATTTCCAATGTAATTTTTGAAGTCCAACAGCACTAGACGGGAAAATGGGTAAGCTGGAGTAAGAGCTAATGTAATTTCAAACTTTGCAAATCCTTTAACACTGGAGAACAAAATCTTGACACTGAAATTACAAAAAGGGAAACAAGATGAATTGTTTAAGGTTGATATATAAAATTTATTTTCCATGATATTCGATTTAGGTAGCAAATGTCAAAGAAAAAAACCCATAAATAACTTTTAAAATGCATATTTTAAAAATAAGTAGTTGCAACCATATATATTTTTTGTTTAGAGGCACAGGTCAAAATCAAAACCAGCCAGTTATCTTTAGAATTAGATGGTTCTAGACCACCTTTATGTATAGTAACCAAAGACATAAAAACTCACTGTGTGTCTAAAAGTGTCATTTCCAATATATCAAATTTGAGCGGCCCCCATTTTTTCAGGTATCGGAGCTCTTGTCCAAGAAGACGTAGATGACTAACCACAATAGAGAAGTCATGAAGGAGCTGTCAAAAAAATAAGTAGCATTTTAAAAACTACTAACAGAAATATTTGGCTTATTACTCCTTATTTACAGGACATTTTTGTCAGCAACTTGAATTAAAGATTTCAGTAACATATTTCTATTCAGATGCCATACTATGAAAACAATGATTGAGACATTTAAATGTTTCATACAAAAGTTCTGTATTTAGTCAAATATCTCCAACATTTAGCAGAAAAGCTGTCAAAATATAATATCAACAACAATTCAACAGTTTAGTACATACCTTAGGAATATCATACTGCGTTGAGTATTTCTTGCACCAACTTTCCTTACTGTTTATGAACTGGTTTATCAGACTGTGGATTACAAGAGAGGAAGGATGTGCTCTTTCATCTGTGGAAATCAGAAAAATTTTTTGCATCAACATCAATAACCATTAATGAAAACTGAGTCGGTCTTGGAAATTCATTTTATTTATTCTGTATTACAAAAACATCATGCTAATGTAACAGGTTTAAAATGTATTTACTGAAAGACTTAGGCAGCCTGTGTGAGCAGAAACAAAAGATTCAAAGGTATAGTTATACTTACCATCCAATAGTGTGTAAAAGTTTATAGCCAGAATATTTAGCACAGCCTTTTCACTTGAATGAGTTTCATCTGGGAAAGAAAAATAAAACTACATCATTGAACCTGTTTGTATCTCACGTAACCTAAGGTTAATATTTTATACATACGCTTTTGCTACTCACCACGTGGTGCTTCAAATACCAGTTCGAGTTCAAGAGATCCATTCAAAAAGGTGAAGACTGCCCGGCCATCTAGCCACTGAGTAAGTGTCCATTCTGATAATCTAGAAATAAAAATATAAAGAGAGAAATATGGTTCAATGTTTCATTACATTAATTTCCTGATTTAAGAAAGAAAAACTTTTACAAAAAAAATACTTTTTATTATTAAAATAAAATTTCCACACCTGTTGAGGTCTTGAATGTAGAGTTCCAACTCTTGTGTTTTCACCTGCAGTTTGCAAACTTCAGTTTCAAGCTGTTTATTTTCCGTCACCAATTTGAACAATTTCCTGAACAAAAGTTTTTTTTTTTAAATTAGTAATATCTTTATCAACAACAACAAAAACAATAATAAATATTGACACTTACCTCTGTGCCTAGGAGCACATAGTTACAAATGCAAAAAGCACACAAAATCTAGTAATCTAAGTAAATTTAATTTACAGTATAAAGTGGTTACTAATGTCACTTTTTGACATAATTATGTCACCAACAGCAAATGCATTTAAACCAGTGCTTGGGGGAAAACCTCTGAGAAATCTATTTAATGCAACTTTCACATTGCTCCCATTGTAACAGAATACATGAAAAGTAAATATTTATTGTAATTTTAAATTAAGTTTAACGTAGACAAAAAGGTTCTTCATATTTTATCAGACATTTAAACAGATTACCTTTCACAATCCGCACCCTCTGCATTGAGGTTTTCAAGCTCTATAATTGACCAAAGAAAAATGAAAAAATGAAAACTGAATAAGCACATTTGAATTATATAATTAAAATAAGAAAGGCTATTTTAAACTATCTTTGAATGAAACATTAACATGGACATCAATTATTATTGCTAATATTAGTATTAAGTATTACCTCCTGTAGAACGTGAACTCAAACATGTGGCAAGGTTGGGCATAGTATTTGTGCTATCATTAAGCCTTCTACACAACTAAAAGGGAAAAAGCCTCAATCTGCATCTTCATTTTATTATATCAATACATTTGCAGCAGTAAAAAATACCTACAGTCTAATTTCCCCAATAATCACAAAAAAAATAGGAAAGTAATTCCAAATTGTGCATGTTGTGATTTCCAACAGAAAGTGGACATTAACAATGCAAACAAAGCACTTAAAAGGTTACTATAAATTGGGAATTCATCTAAATGTACTGGAAGTAAGTGGGTTCAAACTAAGTAATTTACCTTCTTGCCTAGTCTTCAAGGTAAGCTCCAATTCCGGGTTCACATTTTCTTCTTCCATTTCAGAACAATCCAAGCCTGCAAGCTCTACAAAATAATACCAGTAAATATAGTTACACACATAAACGTTAATATATAATAAATGATAGATATCAACTATATTACACAATATATCTACTCAGCAACAGAACAAAGTGGACAAATCTTTTAACTAAATCTCCTAAAATCATCAACATAGCACGAGGTGTCAGTGTATAGTTTAAAATTAAAGGAAATGCAGATAACTAAGTAATTTTTGCTGAACAAAACATTTGTACATACCTGCTTCTAGATTATGGAAACATTCATTTAAGTTTTGCAGCAACCCTTCAGTCAAATTGATCTTTTCCTTTAAATCCTGTTGTGCAGTCTGTCGAAAGAAATTATTTCTGGATATGTACAGTAATGATAATCTTAGCACTGTTCAATAAATTTCAGAGATATAATTCTGTATTTCAGTATGGAAAATAAGGAATGCATGTTAGGCACATTCTGCACATGTGCTGCTCAGTACTTTCTCCACCTCTAAATCAGATACAACAAGCCAACAAAAGGAAAGGAGGACAGGATTAATGGGATTTAACAGGATTCTTTTCTAAATTAGAAACCACAATTTTAACTTGCTCAGCCACAATTGATTTTACATGTGTACATTTTTTTTTAATTAACAGACAAAACAGCCCTAAATCCACACTACTCTAGCTTGGGAAGTCCCAGTGGCAGTTACTTTCGTGTTTAAGATTTTCTACTTGGTGTATATCATTGCACGTGTATTGAACTTTACTCTTGGACAATCTATAAAACACTATATCTCAAAAATACCCTACGATAAACATCCATAAGATCCCAAACACAATGTGTGAAGGTTCACTTGCTCTCTCACCTGTGCACACTGCACCAACTTGGAATACGAGTCAATTTTTATTTCATGGAAATAAGCTTTAACGTTCTTCCTGAATTGTACTTTTTTCTCATTCAGCTTGAATGCAAGACTTCTCAACTGAAGGGAATAAAAAATAAGTTAATAGTGATACAGCACTTGTAAAAGCAAGATCTGAAAAAAGCAATTAATACATAAGAGATTCATACCACAATAGATTTTTAGGGCTATACAAAAAATATTTAATAGTTGGTAAAACATAATTGACAAATGTTGAATAATTATTTTTTTCCTACTTTTGATATATGTATAAAAAATATGATAGCAGAAAAGTAGATAAACATCTCAAATAATTCCTTCTGTTTCTCACTCAGCCAATTATACATTTAAAGAGATGTAAATGTATTTAAAGAGAGTAACAGACCTGTTCTTTTGAATAAGATTTCACTGTTAACCACAGAGATTCATTCATGCTCTTCAAAGTTTTTTCTTGGTCACAGATTCTGGTCTTTAATCTTGAAGAAAAAAAAGGTAAATTTTATTTAAATATGAAATCCAGACTTAAATCAAAAATGACTTAATCCGGTTCTCTTTTCCCAATGTCTATATACAGGAGCAAACATTACAGAACAGAATGTTTTCTTGGTTGAGATCTTATTCCTTCATTCATTCAGTCATTTGTAAACACGTCACAATAATTTTGTGTACAATTAAATAATAAATTTTTAAAAGTTTCTGACATTGTTAATTTTGTGAGAAGTTTTCAATTTTGCCAAACAATTTTCTACTGATGCTACACAATGAAAATCTCTTAAGTTTTTAAATGCAAGATTATACAATGAAAGCATGAACAAAGTAAATACATGTATTACAATGCTGACATCCGTTTGCTGATACATGAAAATATGAATGAATACATTTTACTAAAGCAGTAAAGAATGAGAGGTCACACAGTATATGTCAAATAAACATACTTGTCCACAGTCTCTGTCAATGCTTGACAGTCCTCTTCGTAAACCTGTTGTTGAGGTCTATAAATATACTTTTCTTTGAGCAAGACCTCTGTCTTAGGAGCTGAATCTGATGCTACCTGCAATTCAGATGAGTAAAATGATAAGATCACTTTATTGGCCATATACAATTTCTTGTATTAGGAATTTGTCTTTTCGCATACCCCAACTTGCTCTCCATGAGAGACACAGACAGGGAGAGAAACTTGGGGTCTGAGCGCAGGGTCAGCCATTTGTACGGCGCCCCTGAAGCAGTTGGGGTTAAGGGCCTTGCTCAGGGGCCCAACGGAGTAGGATTCCTCTGCCGGTCGCGGTATACGAACCGGCAACCTTCCAGCCACAGGCGCAGATCCTTAGCCACAGAGCCACTGCCCGACCAAGAATGTCATTTAAAAATATAAAACCTGTTGCTTTGTACAATTTTAAATAACATTGTTCTGAGAAGGCTAACATAATAATTCAAGTTACATTATACAGAATCTATACAATCTTTGAATCTAGAGTGGATAACCTTTTTGGAATAAGGACCCCCAAAGCAGTAATGCTTTGCCAATGCTTTGCATGGATGCAAGAAGAATTATAATATTTTTCAGAATCCTGAAGGACTAAACAAGCTTTTAATGAAACTACAAAACAAAAGATCCAGGCTTGTTTCAATTCGTACATTGTGAGGAAGTGTGCTCTGCCTAGGTCTCTGGATATGCATATAGACATCAAGGAGCTGGAGAAATTCTTTGGCTGTAATGCTACCATCTTGAAGTTTCTAAAATAAAAAAGTAAAAGTTAAATGATTATTCACATTTTTCCCCTCACAGGAAAAATAAAACTTTTGGTTATTCATTAATACATTCTACCTGCTTAAGATACATAAATATTTCTAAGAGTTAAAGAAAGTAGCTATTTAAACATTTCATTACTTTATTAAACTTATACTGAATATATTATACAGTTTAGTACCTTCTAATTTATAGTTGTATAAAACTTTTATTATACAAAAAACAAAATATAATGTATCTATACAATAAAAATTACCTCTTGTAAATCCTCTATCTCCTCCAAAAATTGGGATTCGAATCTACTGCATCTCTGAGCTGTGAATCATTCAGGAAAAAAAACATTAAATAATGTATTGGCTCTTACAGTTCCTGAGCACTACGTCTACTTTCTTTCTATTGCCTATTCGTCTCAATTTATCATTGACAAAATTCTTAGAATCACTTGAAATCTAGTACATTTTAATTAGATCATTTTGTAAAGACTTTATCATTTATATTTCTACGATGTTAGATATAGCATTTTTGACACTAAGGACACAGGGCTTCCGTTTAAATACAAATTCAGTAGAAATTGTTTAATATTTTTTCTGTTTTCCTTAAATCCAACATTACAGCCTTTCCATGTTCACTAACTTAGAGTAAAACATTATAACAAAAAATGTTGCTTACCACTTGAGTCAAATGTTGCTTCAGCTTTTAGGTTCATGCTGTTGCTGCTACCAGAAGTGGTGTCAAAGGTCTTGGTCATTGTCCCACTTGGCAGGATTTCTGCTGTAATGCCCAAAGCACTACTGCTCCACTGGACACGACACACTCTGGCTTCCTAAGTAAGAAAATAAAAATCTGTAGTGACAAGAAAACAAGAACTCTACCTGGTAGAGATGTAAATTTCAGGATCAATTAAATAACCTACCTTCCAGCATATAATAAATTCTAAATAAAAAGCAAACCTATACAGTCAAACAAACAAAAAATCGATTTATTGCATCTTCAAAGCACATTCTGAAGCATTATAAAAAAACATAACACACCTTTTCTTGATTTGCAGAAGGAACATCGGGGCTTCTCTTGATCTTTCTGTCATGCACCATGATGTCTTCATGTCCATCTTCCTGGAGAGGTCTTTTCTGCCTTGGTGTTTGGTTGAGTACTGGTTTATCAAAGCCTGAGTCATTTACACCAACATCAGTCTCAACAGTTTCAACAGGGTTTTCCTTATCGCAGTTTTCTGCAGGGAACTCGCAGTTCATATTTTCAGCCGAGTCCTCCTCATCAGTGTAGTAAGGAAGAATTTCTTCATCAATATTTTGGACAGGGTCATTGTTTCCTTGTTGAATTGCAGTGTCCGACGTTACAGCATTAATCAGTACTTTCCCAAAATGACTGCTCTGTGCACAATTCAGTGTCTTACTATTAAGAATTTTCTTTTTTTGTGGGAGCTTTGGTAGAAATCCACCAAAAGACATTGATGTTTTCTGAGGCTTGTCATAACAGAAGTTAACAGGTGTGGTCATATTCCTGGTTAGATCCACATGACTACTGTTGTCGTTGCATTGAAGATTTTTTGGCTCTTCAGATACTGCAAAATGTACCTCTCCATAATCAGCTGCATTAGGATTGTTACATTCATTTCTGGGAAAGGAATCTTTATCACATTTGTCTTCAGTTTCGGTTTCTGAGAGCTTAATCAATTTAGGTAAAGGTGCTGTGTGGCAAGTCATCCCAGTTTCTGATTTGTTGATCATATTTTTAATGTTTTTAAGTTTTGACTGGAGATCCACAAGACTTCTCCTTCTTCTGTTGGCCATTTTGACAGCTTCATTAATAGCCCCTGAATTCTGTAGAGATAGTTCACCACTTTCTTCCACTGTTCTATTAATTTCACAAGTTAATTCAGTTAAATCAGCCTTTTTCATTTGCTCTCTTGATTCTAAGTTAAGGTCAGAAACTATGAAAGGAACACTCTCTCTTTTAACTTCTTGATTATTTAATCCAAAACAGTTACTCTTGTCTTCAGATCCTCTTTCTTCATCTAATTTATTTACATTTTGAGGTTCAAAACAAAAACGTGAATCAGAGAGTGTTTTCTCTGTTGCAAGACCATCTACCAATACACTCATACCTAAAGCAGGTTTATCAGAGGATGAAAAAATATCTGGTTTGATAGTTCTAGACATACACTGTACTGACATTTCCTGGGATTCTACATCTCTTTCACTGCCTTGCACAGGACTCCTTCCTTTAATAGCCACTTCTTGGCCTTTAGTTTTTTCCATATTTTCACCTTTTGAGAAAGTAATTGTTTTAATAGGAACTGACTCATCTGAAGCACTTTTACTTTTGATTAATGGGTTAACTATCTCACTGTTTTGGTGGCCAATGGTAACAGTCTGGTTTCCAATTATTTGTTTATCATCTTGAAATTGTAAACGGGGTACTTGCTCAAAAGGCCGCCTGCTCTCAATGGCCACTGTGTGACTTCTAGCCATATCCATATCATCACATTGTTTTGAAAACTCAATATTTTTTTCAGATATCGATAAAGCAGCCACATATTGCTTAGATTTCGTACTGTTACCTGCTGCTGGATTAGTGCTGCAATCAATAAAAACTGTCTGGCTCCTTGTTATATCCATATTTTGTTGATCCAAAACTGAACAGTCTACTCGCAGAATGGAGTTATTCAATTCACCGGTTGTTTTCTCTCTTTGTGTTAAAAGATTACTGCTTCCGACAGCAAGTGTGTGACTTTTTGTTGTGTCCATTTCATCTTGATCATCTGTCAACAGAGTAGTTTTGTCCACAGGGGCGGACAAACGAGGCACACTTTGTTTAAATCTCTTATTTCCCTGTGCATTCGGATGGTTAATTTCAATGCTGCTTTTCACATCATTAGCAATAGTTTGGTTCTTTGTCTTTTCTGTATCACTTTTGAGTAAATATTGCATATTTGCATTATTTTGAAAAAAAGTACTTTCAATAACCACTGTGTTGCTTTTAGTCATGTCCATTTCATTCCGATCCTCTGAAAACACAACAGTTTTATCAGTAGGAAGTGAAGAAAAGGTCACACTTTTTCTAGGTCTTTGTCGAATTCCAATGAATGAATCAGCTTCAACAGGCCTGCAGTCAACAGCACTAGTTTGGCTTCTTGTAATTTTTATGGCAGCCGACATCTCAGAATTAAGCTGGACACTATTTGGAACAGACTGCATGCAATCTTCACCCACCTCTTTTACTTTTCTCTTATCTATGACCACTGTGTGGCTTTTGGTCATGTCCATATTGTCACAGTCTCCTGAAAAAACAACTGTTCTATCAGCAGAAACAGACAAGAACATTCCAGATTCATCTCTGCCTATTTTGTCATTTGTTGGTAAAATGTTTGAGCTGTCAATATCCACTGTGTGGCTCTTAGTTATCTCCATTTCAGCAAAGTCCTCTGAAAAAACTAGTGTTCTATCAGAAGGAGCCAATAAAGAAGTTGTATTACGTTTTGGTTTAGCTTGGATCCCCATAAATGGATCAGCTGCTTCAATATTCTTATAGTCAATTGCAACAGTTTGACTTCGTGTCATTTCCATATCATCATTCTCTCCTGAAAACACGACTGTTCTATCAGCAGGAACAGACAAACCCAAGACACTTCTAGATCTGATGTTAGATTTTGGGGCAAAACTGTCTGCTGCAGTGGTTTTAAAATCAATCTTAACAGTCTGGCTCTTTGTAAGTTCCATGTCATCGGGTTCAGAGGTGGAAAAGTGGGAATGCGGTAGGATGCTTTCAGACAAGAACATTCCAGATTTCTCTCTCGCTCTTTTTTCACTTTCTGGTAAGAGGTTTGAGCTATTGATAGCCACTGTGTGGCTCTTAGTTATCTCCATTTCAGCTAAGTCCTCTGAAAAAAGTACTGTTCTATCAGAAGGCGCCAATAAAGACGTCGCATTACATTTTGGTTTAGCTGGGATCCCCATAAATGGATCAGCTGCTTCAATATTCTTCCAGTCAATTGCAACAGTTTGACTTCTTGTCATTTCCATATCATCTGACTCCTCATTCTGTTCAAAATGGCTGCTGGTTTCAATAGCCATAGTATGGCTTTTAGTCATGTCCATATCATCGCACCCTCCTGAAAACATAACTGTTATATCAGCAGGAACAGGGAAACCCAAGACACTTCTTCCAGATCTGATATTACATTTCGGGACAAAACTGTCTGCTGCAGTGGTTTTGAAGTCAATCTTAGCAGTCTGGCTCTTTGTAAGTTCCATATCTTCTGCTTCAGAGGTGGACAAATGGGAACTTGGTAGAATACTTTCAGACAATAACATTCCTGTTTTGTTTCTGGCTATTGCTTCACTTGCTGCTGGTAAGATGTATGATCTGTCAATAGCTACTGTGTGACTTTTAGTCATATCCATTTCAGCTATGCCCTCTGAAAAAAACACTGTTTTATCAGGGAGAGCAGAAAAAACAGTCATATTAGGTCTCGGTTTAGTATGAATTCCCATGAAACGATCATCTTCAATATTGTTACTGTCAACTGCAGCAGGTTGGGTTTTCATTATTTTCATGTCATTTTGCTCCACGTTTTGTTCATAAAGGCCCCTGTTGTCAATAGATACAGTATGGCTTTTTGTCATGTTCATCTCATCCTGGTCCACCGAAAAAAAAATTGTTTTATCAGAAGAAATAGACAAACCAATCGGATTTTTTTTAGATTTTTCAAACATTCCAAATACCGTTTGGCTCTTTGTTAATTCCATTTCATCAGCATTACTAATTACTGAATGCAAAGTTGATGGAACATTGCTATTTGATGACTGCATTGGGTTATCAATTTCTCTAATAATGCTCTTGCAGTCAATAGCCACAGTGTGGCTTTTAGTCATATCCATATCATACTCTCCTGAACAGACAACTGTTCCATCAGCAGGAACAGACAAACTAAAGATACTTTGTTTAGATCTCCTTATTGCTGAAGTGGAATTTTCTGCCAGAGTGGTTTTAAAGTCACTTTTTACAGTCTGGCCCTTTGCAAGTTCCATGTCTTTTGGCACAGAGGTAAAAGAAGGGGAACATGGTAAACGGCTTTCAGAAAAACACATTTCAGATTTCTCTCTAGCCATTAAGATATTTGTGCTGTCTATAGATACTGTGTGGCTCTGTGTCATCTCCATTTCTGCCAAGTGTTCTGGAAACACCACTGTTCTATCATAGGGAGCTGAAAAAGATGTTGCATTACTTCTTGGTTTAGTTTGCACAGCCATGAGTGGATCGGTTACTTCAATAGTCCTGCAGTCAACTGCAGCCATTTGGCTTCTTGTCATCTCCATGTCAACTAATTTATTATTTTGTTCACGTTTCTGCCTAAAAAGACTTCTGTTGTCAATAGCAACTGTATGGCTTTTAGTCATGTCCATATCATCTTCGTCTACAGAAAAAAGAACTGTTTTATCAGCTGGAACAGAAAAACCAAGTACACTTCTACATCTTTTGTTAATGTCTTTAGCTGGATTGGTAAGTGCTGCATTAGTTTTGTAATCAAGTGAATTCATCTGACTTTTTGTCATGTCCTTATAATCAGGTCTTGAGGACAATCCACAAGAACCTAGAGCATTATGACACAAATCCAATGGTTTCTCACCAGTATTTAAAATGCTCTTAGTGTCAATAGCCACTGTATGGCTCTTAGTCATGTCCATTTCATTAAGCTCCTCTGAAAAAACAACAGTTTCATTGCTACAACCTGCTAAACCAGCTACAAGTTTTCTAGTTTTTGGAGGGATTACTCTGAATGGATCAGAAGCCATAACTTCCTTGTAAGCAATGTCAACAGTCTGGCTTTTTGTCATGTCCATATCATCTGGTTCTGCAGGCTGTATGACACATTTATTCTCATTTATTGTTCTGGTATCTATTGAAATTGTGTGGCTTTTAGTCATGTCCATATTGTCCTCTTTGTCTACTAACATTGTCTTATTGATGAACTGGAGATCAAACCTTTCTGTTAATACAGATGCTTGCTTTTCTTTATCAAAACCAGATCCATGTGATTTGAGTCTGGAAAGAAAATCTTTGGAACATATTTTCTCAGGCCCAGGTGGCACAGAATTCTGTTGAACCAATGGGGTTAAAGAACTTGGATCACTGAAAAAGCGTCTGTTACCACTCTGTCCAACTGATTTTGCAAGGCCATTTTTGAAATCAGATGTCTTCACAGAATTATTACCAAAGATTGTTGAATCTTCACATCTGCTGAAGTAGCTGTATTCCCGTCTTGAGTCAGCATTACCAACGTCCTTGTTTTTGTCCAGTCTAGAAATGAACTCTCCGACATCTAGATTTCCACAGTTAGCAACATCGTTGATGTCATCATCATCCTTACTAATAACAATAGTGTGGCTGTAGGTCATATCCATATTTGCATTGTCTTCTTCAGAAAATACTACCGTTTTATCAGCAACTGTGTCCATAGTTCCATGCTCAAAAAAGGACCTTTCCTGAGATGGAAAAAAGTAAAATTATATAATGTCGATTTCCATTAACATAGTATTAGAATTGATATTCTTTATATAATATAAAGTGGAATTTTTCAACCAAAAAATAAAGTATTTATATAAAGAAATAAGACATTACTGTATTATCTGAAACCCGATCATTCAAAGCCTGCTATAACTAATTTTCTGTCTCCAAGGGGTTTTTGTTGATGTTAACAAATGTTTTCAAATAACCATTTAGGCCATCTATTAAAATGTTTTTGAAATGTTTGATTTGTTTTCTTATTTTTAAATATTAAATTGATAGTTTCTATCTATGTGCGAGATATTTAAAGATTCTGGATAACTTATATGATTAAACTGTTCATGATGTACTGTATGTAAAGCTAATGCTGCAGTTCTGTGGAATAGTGACACTGCTCTCGTGTAACAAGGTAAAATCCCAATATGAAACTAGAAGAATGTCTGTATTGGTCATCCCGCTAATTTCAGGGACAATTAAAGGTACTATATATTACCTGGCTTAATTTATAACAATGAAACAAAATATCTAACCTTATTCTGCTGCTGTGGAACTTGTAGGGGAGCATTGAGCAAAGTTTCCATGCCTGAAAAATTATACATGAAATGATTACTCAATTATCTCCATTAATAGAAACAATTTCTACTCATACCAGCTTTGCAAGAAACAATTACATTATTATAAATTAAAATGTAAAAAAAATATTCATAGTTAAAATTTTCAAAATTCTTACCAAGTAACTGTGGTTTTCCATCTTGATCAGCATTCAACCTGCTAATAAAAGAGTTTAATTGATTATTTTACTAGGTTTTGATAAGGTTATTCAAGAGAAAATCCCTGATTTTAATATACATTGCTTTACTTTAATATAAAAAATACAAGCCAAAACTTTTAGCAAGTATATCAAAACTGCTAGGGGCTTAATATACACTATTTATAATACTTTATAGAATGTTATTTCTGCACCACAGTATGCCTTTTTGCCAATAAATGATTAAAAAAAACAAATGCCATGCAAAGAGCTGGTGTCAGTTTCATGTAGGAAAATAAAATATACTTACTTCTCCTTATCCAAATCTTCCATTTCTAAAAAGGCAAATTTATTTTTTAGATTAATTTAATAAAAAATGTGACTTGTCTTTAATATCAACTAAATGCCATACGACATCTCACTGGTTCATTTTTAAAAGATGTGCATATAATTTTTTTCCCTTTCTCCTGCACTTCAGTGAGTAAGTCGGATGAATTCTGCTTTCTTTGCTTTGATCATTCATAAATGCAACAAATTTGGTCTAACCCAACATTTCTATGTATGGTGCTTACATGAAAAAACACTATATGATCTAGCACTAATACAAGATTGTTAAATTTACTTCACATTAAAAGTGCAACATCATGGATTAGGGGCCTCCAACCCCTTTTCTAAAGTTGACTAGGCCTGCTGGTTTTATAGGTAACCCTTAAATCATAAATTTCTGAAGAAATGGAAGAATTGTAACTCTGATCAATAACAAACGTAAAATTCGTAAAATTTTGCTAATTTGTTAAAGCTATCAGCTCCCCAAGACTGGAATTTCTTTAACCGAGCATATGACTTGCTTAACTGGTCTATAACCACCAAGCATTCCCAAAATTCACAAACAGGCAATTCAGGGTTATCTATAAGACTTTATGTATTGGTGTTTTCTGAATCAGGAACATAGTGACAGAGACGTGCATAAATAATTAAGGGTAAAACAATCACTACAAAAAATAAACATTCACCTAAAAGTCAGACATTTTTTATGTTTTATGTGACATTTTAAGAACTGATATTTAGAAACATTAACATACAAAACAGTATTAAATGCATACAAATTTTGCTGGCTTTTCCACCTGTTTTGCCTTAAGCTATATTCCATTGTTTATTCTGAATGTGGGTAAATTTGTATACTTTTCAAAAACAATATAACATTTGAAAGTTTTAGATCATTAACAATTTTTGAATATCTCAATATTAATACATTTCCAGTTTATTACTTAAACTAGTCAAAATGATTGAAATATTCCAGTATGACTACATGCAAAATTGGACAAATAGTGGAGAAATAAAATTATTACCTGAAAAGAAATGGGAATATTACTAAATCAGTATTAAATATTAAATGAAAACAAACACCTACCCGTTCCATCCAGGTCTCCCAAAAGTTTTGTCACAGGTGAATCATTTTTAAAATCCCTAAGAGGACAGAATAAAATAAAAATACAGATCATAATATTCAGCTTATAAAATGTCAATTACAGTCATTTATGGATTCATTTTTTAATGTTATCTACCTTTAGGAAACTGCTTACATTGGGTAAATACACATGTAGCTTAATACATACGCAATTAAGCATAATTATTAAATTAACTAAAATATTAGAAAAAAAACATTTTAAAAAGATTAACAGGAGTATTTCTGTCCAAATATGTTCTTCACAGCAAGGAACCAAATGATATCCCAAGCAGGAAAAGATAATGATTAATGAGAATAGACATAACTTGTCTTATCAACTCAGCTTTTATATAACAAAAACTGCAATCGAATGCAACTTTACATTTGCGAAGAAAACTGAAAATATGTTAATCTTACTTTATATTATTGGTTTGGGCAAAACTGACTCTTCGAGAACTTCGTCTTTTCTTTTCAAATGGTTTGTTTGTGCAGTCCTAACAGGGAAAAAAATTAAATCATGGTGATCTCAAATTGCAAACTTTACTAAAGGAAAAGCTTAAGCCCCACTTCACCTTTCATCAATCGTTGTTACAGAATTAACATTGACACCGATCTCAGATTAGCAGGAAGAGAAAACTACTTTTATTAGACCACACTATTCAACTGTTGCAATGCTTTTCATAGCAGAGCACACTAAAAATACTTTTAACAGCTCCTAAACTAGATGACTTTTTAAAATTAAAATACCCAATCACGTATCATTGAAATTACCTGACATCCATCTTCTCCCCCAATACTTTTAAGTGGGGTGCGAGGTGCTTTTAAAATCTAAAAAAAAAGCAGACTTCTTAGTTTACATACACATGTACTTTAACAAATGTAAGAACAAATGCACATTCTGTTCAGAAAGTGTACAAATTACTCATTGTATACAAAAATGAAAGGTCTAGCTGAACAGCTGTGTTTGATAAAGAGTCAAAAACACTTAAAATGTAAGATAAGATTTTATTGTCCCCTGAGGGAAATGTTTTAGGGACACCCGGCACTTCTGTACATTTAAATAGAATGCAAAAGAAAAAAAAGAAGAAAAACATGGCGGTATGGAGTATGGAGGTAATGGGACTTAGTACAAAGGAGAAAACTATATGGTTTGTATCAGACTATTCTGATAATAGTAAAAAAGACTAGTTTAGAAAGAGGCCTAAGGTAAATAATATAATATCATAAATGTGGACAAGATATAACTAGACAGATATATGATGATGGTTCTAATACAATCAGCAGTTATTTAAGATGGCATAGCCTTGCCTGGGTTATCTTTAATGGTTTTGAACAACCAATTTAAATTCGTGAATGAAAAATGTACTGTGTTATCACTGCTTTAATAGTACAAGAGGTAGAGCCGTTAACATTAAAAGCATAGTGTCTGGTGTTAGCACCAAGGCTACAGTTGGCACTCTGAAAGATCTAGATTTATCAATTATTGTGGGGATTTGACAGAATATGCACATTTTCATTGCTAAAAAGCACCTCTGTTATGAAAGCTGGAACATAGAGAATTTTTTAAAGGCTCATACCGATGAAATCCTTCGCATATTATTGGTTTTAGTCGGTTCAGACCTGTAAAATTGGATAATTTTAATTAATCTAACACGCCTTGCAAAAAGTCAAACATTTACAGTTCTAGCAGTTAAAATACACAGTTGTGGTGCTACAATGAAAAGTAAATATGCATTTCCATATTTTCAGTATAATATACTATGATTAAAAGAATCACTTAACTGAAAATTCCAAGTTAGAAATCAGAATAAAGAAAAGATTCTAAGAATCCTAAAATGGAGAAGTTTTCTGGCCTTCAGTTTGTTGGCAGGTGTTCACTCAAAATGAAAATTTTCTGAATGTTGAATCCGTATGTAAACCTAGCCCATTGTATTCACCTTCCAAACAACACCAGAATCTTATTCACCCCAATTTGTCACTGCTACTGTAAATAAATACATTTTAACATCATTCTGAACTAGAAGTTCAAATAAAGACACGTTTACAACTATGATTAAACACACAACTTACTGATCACTTGGGATTGCTACAAAAGGCTCCATCTTCATCCAAACAATCTTATTCTGGAAAGAAAGATAAATTAATTTATCTTGGTATATTTATTATTAATCCCATTTTGTTTTAAATCAGAATATTGTCAATAAATTAAAATGTAATGCCTGCTAAACAGTCTTTTCGACTACACTCTGTCTACAGGTTTCTCCACCAAAAAGGCGTTTCATGTGAAACTAAATTGATACACAGTTTAAGAGAAAGAACATCAGGACATAAATGCTGCGGGGTTTCATTTTCCGAGATTGTTTCGTAACACTAGTAAATCTGTCCACTAGTCCATCCACATTAGGTGTATATCGAATGAAACATATACATATTTCAACAGTTAATTATCGATAAAATCATCACGTTTCCAGACCATCTGGTTGAATTCGTGCACTACAAGGCACTGCTTTCGCCGTGCGAACATAACTCTAGTCTTATCAATGTCAAACGTTTGGTAATAGACATTAAACCAATGAACAAATCCATATGAATAAACGTAAAATCAGAAACACATTACTGTAAATGACTTGCTAGGATGCACATGAAGAAATGCACGTAAAGATCTTATATAGTATTGTAGAATGCAGTCATTAAACTGATGTAGCTAACATTTCTGAATTTCACAGATGCTCTGAGCCAGTGTGAGCAGGTTGGTTAAGCACAGAAAGCAACATCACCACACACGTCCACATCGTTAAACGGCATTTATATTCTTTGTTTGAAATGAAATATCATACATGTTCAAGACCAGAAACACGCTAGGGTTTCACAACAACGTTTCCCCTATCATCACAGCCATTGTATGCAGAAGTGAGCTCCGCACCAAACAAGGTAACTACTGTAGTTAGAGCATACCGCCCTATTGATTAAAATGATTCTTTTGAATCAAACTAAACCTAAAGACTGCTTTTAAAAAGTGACACACATGTTAACACATACCTTTAATTATATCGCCGTCTTAATCTTCATTTATATTTATCCAAAATCATTTCCGCCACCCTTTGCAAATGTTTAATTTTTTCAAATTTAACCGCTCTACTAACAAGCATGCGCACTAACTTTCCGAAACCCTGAGTTCCTATACCAGGGGCGTTAAAAGGAAGTGACGTATTTTATTTTAAAATTTCAGAGCGGGTTTTGCTGTATTTTTGCAAAGTGGCAACAAACAAGCTTGGTAAGTACTCTTGACTCGTGTTCATAATACAGATCGTGTTGTATTAAGTTTACTTATTTTGATTAATCTAGTTCTCAATATGTTAGTTGCCAATTTAGGGAAATATAACTATTAACTACTTAAACTATAACTAATTCTTGAGCTTTTTAATGGCTGTAATTAAAATATTAGTGTAAAGTATACCTCATGAAGTTCTTAAAATAAGTATAAAGTATAAGTATAAGTATAAAGTTCTTATTAACTTAATCGATTTGCGGATGATTGTGTGACTAAAGTATTTATAGTGCCATGCTTTAACGTGTTTTTTACTTTTAGTTCTATAGCCGCAATCTTTTTCAGACATACTGCCGGAGAGCCTTAAAATACAGCATATTTTAAGATTAACAATGAACTCATTGATTTCTAAATACTAACAACTTAATCGTGATCAGTCGTTGTTCGTATGCTAAACTAAAATACATGTTAGGGAACCGTAAAATTCAAGGCCCTTTTTAAATCTGACCTATCAAATAGGTGCTGTGTAGTGAAAGGTGATCCTTTTTTTTCAGATACTAAAATCATGGGGGAGAGAGAGAATTCCAGAATTCCTCTTTATCAAGAAAAAAAGCAATACGAAGCAACAAAATGTAGGTTTTATGAGACCCCGAAATGTTTTATTTCTGTGATATAATTCTGTAATCCAAAACTGTAACATTGTAACAGAAATTTATTATTTTATATATAGCAAATGATCGCCCTGCTGAAAGTATGAAAAAAACGGTGGCTCCCAAATTTGAAGTACCTACCAGTTTCAACTTTGCTGTAAAGTCTGAAAAGGTTGGAGCATTCAAACCACAAAACCCAACTGTCAGCAAAAGGTGACTACAGCATTGCTTCTGTTCTGATCATGGAAAATGTTTACTCTCCTCTGCTTAAAGGTTTCTTCATAATGAACAATAACCATCATAGTTAGGAAAGTGTATACTGATATATGATAGATTAGCTTTTGTTAAGATTTTATTTTGAAAGCCTAAAATAGCTGTTTTGAAGGTGAATGCTGACCTTTTGATTTCTTCAATGTTGTTGGCCAGGAAAATTCCTCAAAATGGTGTTTACAAAGGGTAAGAAATGTTTTTTTTATTTATTCTCAAAAATCAATATTGTGTGTAACTATATTAGGAATTTGTTTTTAAAAGTGTCTTTTTGCTTTTTTTAATGACATTGTAATACTGTTTTTTTTCATGAAAGTTAATAGACGAATATTTTAATTTTGTATATCCTCATTTCAGACCAAATACCAGGCTCCGTGTGGAAGCAGAACTGAGAGATAAGAACCAGCTTTTAGAAGCATCCAATCTGGAGCTGTATCGAAATCTTTCAGAGGCAAAGGTAAGTTGGGTCCATGTTCACTTTTACGAAACAATTGGTTTTACTGTGCCACCATTACCCACCATTAAACATCCTTTGAAATGAAGGGGCTTAGGAGATAAGGTATTGGTAATATTTTTGTATCCATTACCCATTATTAAGAATCAGAAGGTATAAGACTTACTCTGTGGTGCAACCTTTAATAAAATATTAAACCTAAATAAGCTGTGCAAACGACTGGCACTGTGGTGCAGCATTGCCCAGGGCTCAGGTCCTGGGTTCAATTCCCAGGGTGCTATCTGTTTGGAGCTCCGGTTTCTTCCCACAGTCCACAGATATACTGGAAGGTTAACTGGCTTCTGGAAAAATTGGACCTGGTGTATCTGTGCTCCATGAAAGACTGGTGTCCTCTACAGGGTGTATCCTGAATTGCGCCCATTGCTTACCTGGATAGGGTCTGGCTTCCCTGCAACCCTGTACTGGATGCAGTGGAAAATAGATGGATGAAACTACGTTTCATGGTGTATTCTAGTTCTTGATGCATGATTTTTTAGTCTGGAGAAATTTTAGAGGTGTTATTCCTTGTTCTACATAAATAGGCTCATATGGCTACACTACCACTCTTTTAATCTACATTGTGCAGCAGTTTCATCCCCTTGATTGTCAATTCAGGCAGGGTATGCGTTTCTATACTGAACAAACCTCACATTTATTTTAAAGGAGAATATTGCAAAGCTGACGCAGAAATACACAGGTCTGGAAGGAGAATCCAGTGAACTTAAAAAGCAGCTGGAGAAGTGCATGCTATTTCTGGAAACTAGCAACATTGATCCAGGTAAAGAAATTATCCATTTTCTGTATTTTGATTTTGTTCCTTTTGTTTTTGATTTGTTCAGTTTCACAATGCATACTGCTTTGTAATATGGATAGTACAGAACTGTAGGCTATCTGGAATGTAAGTAAAATATATTTTATTAATGAAGTAGAAAAAATACTTTTAAAAATGGTCTTTTAAAGCTGCATGAAATGTTTTGCCACATTGATTTAGTCCAGAGCAATAAGAGAATTAAACAAGCTAGTTTTTTAAGGGGTATGACTTTTTTCATCCTAAGTTTCAGGTGAAAAAATCCTTGAAACAGCAAAACAAAATGAAGAGCAAAGAAAGGAAGTGTTGGTGAGTCTGACATTCTAAACTGTAAGGTATCTGTTTTGTAATTCTTAATAGTGCACAGCATTCACTCTCTTAGTACTCCATTCTTGAAATAACCCCATGCTGCAGGAAGGTTGAAATAATATCCCACCCTCATGACAAAAATATATTATTGTGTAGTGATTGAATGTGTAATACCAGAAAACAAAATCTGGGATGCTGTGATTTTCACTGAATCATTTTGTGCACACATATTAAAATGTTCTTTCTTTACTGACTGGAGAACCCTAACTAATAGGATGGTAAGGACATTTTAAAATCAATCTAATTTGAATGAAATTTATAGAAACAAATGTGATTGTTTAATTTTGAACATTCTTGGACTGAGACAGTTTTCTTTTGTGCCAGAACAGTTTTCTTTTGTTTCTAGAGACCAACCAGTTCAGCCCATACCAGCAGAAAATAATCAGCACAAAAGGACACTTGGCTGAACGACTAAAATTGGTCCTTTCAAATGTTACATTTTAGTTTAGATCAGTATAGTATGAACATGAGGATGAGTCATCTTCACCCAGATTAACACTAATTATAATAAACACTAGTTTTACTTGGCCTTGTCTTTTAAAAAATAAAAACCATTTAAAACATTTCAGCATTATTTTTTTGAACTTCTAAAACTGAGTTTCCATTGACAAATTCCCATGTTTAAAAAGGGCAAGGTGTCTGAACTTCATACAGAAAGAAACAACAATGAACACACTGATAGGTGACAGGCGAATGGCTATTCTTCAGCTGTTTTTAATGCAGTGTTATCAGACTGTTAAAGATTTTAGCTTTTTGCAAACGTTTGCTGCTAGAAAGGAAATAATCAATATTTTCTCTGGTCCAGAGTCTGTCTAGGAATTTGCAAAATGAACTGGAGGTATTTAGTCAGAAAGCTTCTGAGCACAGGCTACAGATGCAGGTAAGGAGTTACTTAATATACAGCAAATAAAGGCTTTTTTATTTCCATTTAAAAGTCTTTGCTCATGACTAGAAAAGCCCACTGTGATACACTTTAACATTAAACATATAAGAAGAATAATAAATTGTTCTCTGAAAAGCCATAGCCTTTCTGGAAAAATCTAGCATGAGCAGGGCATAGAGATTTTATTCCGTGTTTATGTGTAGCCTTTCAGAATATTCTTTAAACATTTATAAATATGTACATAAATTACATAAATTTGTAATTTTTTATTTAATTACAAATATATTGTATGTGTTCCACTCAGAACCATACACCTACTGTAAGTATGCAATGTCCCGTGAGTTCCCGTGTAGGTAATGTACAGTTGTCAGATACTAGAAAAAGAGAATAACACATTTAATTAAGTGGAATTTTATCTAAAAGACTGACTGTTAAGAACCATATTTTTTTCCTGCAATAAAATGAGTTGGGTTGAATCCTTCACTTATTTTCTTTTGTAGGAAATTAAATCCAAAGTGAGGGCTCAGCAAGAAGAAATAGAGAGGCGTCTGAAGGAAAAAGAAAACTTTCAAACAGAACTACAAGAAATGGAGAAAGCTTTAGATGATGCTCAGCAGCTACTTGATGTGTAAATTTGTGTGCCGGCAGAAAAGCCATTCGCTTTGAGATGTAAAAATTAGTATTTTTTTATAAGCTAATAAAATATTAAAACCAAGAAAAACAGACCCTTAAAGAGAATGATTTTAAATAAAATTTGTTTAGGAGCCATCAGATTTTTTTCTATAAATCTGTACGGTAGGTTTTTTTAAAATCAATCTTGGAAATGCATGACAGATTATTTTATTCAACATTTCATTGGATTACATGGTCCGTTTATATAAGATGCCCAACACAGATACAAAAATGCTTAATTTAAAAGCTGTTATTAAAGTATTGAATGTACAGTTTTTATAAATAGAGAACAAGTATAGTGAAAGAAAAATATGTAAATTGGAGTAAACTGAGTCGTGTGTCCTTTTAAATAACTTTTATTAGGTGAGTCCTGTTCTCTCAGAAAATCAGCTCTGCTAGGTTGGATGTCAAGAAAAACTTTTTTGCAGATATCCTACATCAGGTTATGACTGCCTTTTCTTTGTTAAAAGGACTTGATTTATATATATCACATCTGTTACTCTATATTTTACCTACAGTATATACTAAGTCTATAATGATAAGTTAACATGATTAATATAGACTTGATGCTCAGAATTTTCATTTAGAGGTTTTTCGTTGAAGGATCACTGTTGGCAGGTGTGTGTGTTACATAAATATTGGAATGAGCTCTTTTTGAACTCCAGCTGGTATTACTGCTTGAGAAGCTAGGAGGGCCATCTGTAGTGACTTTACTTGTTTTATAATAATACAGGAACAAAAAGAAACCTGTTGGGGGAGGAAAAAAGTATTTCAGTTCAATTGAAGTTAAACAATCCATGATTTACTCAGTTGTTAAATAAAAGGTATGATACCATTTTTTTATTTCATTATTTCATATTACACTGTATATAGGCTAAATTAGCACAATGATGTGCTATGTAATTTGAAATACTTATTCCTTAATAGGTGGTGAGGTGTGAGTTAGTCTAAACAGATTTTCAGTTTGAAAACAAAATTTAAAAATCTACATGTATTCTTGAATTCCATTTTCATTTATTGATAAACAATTTCCTGTTCTGTGTAGAACAGAAAACAAATACTATAACATCTGATTTTTATTCAAAGATGAATGGAGTTTGATTTTGGTTAGGGGTTCATGCCTTTAATTATTCTTAAAAGTCCATTAGAGTGTGAATTATGACTGATTTGTTTTACCTACCTTGAAGAGAATTGAGGATGCTGAAGGCATAAAATGATGGCACTTGGAGAGGACCAAAGCCGAAGAATGCAATGCCCCAGGTTATTCCAAGCAAACAGCACAGGCCCATTACAGTGTATATAGTCTTTATTAATCTATGTTCATTTGGTCCACCAATGTTGGTCCTTTTGAGGTAGATTATTCTCTTCACTACAATAATGAAAATTACTATATTGAAGAGAAACACTAGTGCATAGTAACCAATGTTGATTACGAAATGCACATTGGAATCTGTGATCCAACACCTAGAAAAAATGGAAAGTACGTTTTTAAACTTGCAAAAGCTTTGTTCCAGTTTACATAATGTTTTGAGTTAAGAAAGTCCTGCTTATAACATTAGTTGACCTTCCATTTCAAGAGCATTGCTATGCAATTTTATGAATATTCATGACACATTTCCAAAATTCATTTTTTTTTGGGTGAATGATACTGATCTGTTTAAATTGATCTAATTCAACATGCTTATGTTAGATCCATAGATAAGCAGAGTGCACAATAAAGAACAAATACACATAAGTATGAAAAAAGATCATCATGATTTGTCATTTGAACACAGTAGCCAGCAAAAAGCTACCCTAACCATAATTTAAAATGTCTGTTTTTTTTTTATTAGACAAGTTTATTTTTTCGTCCGATTTTATTTCATACTTGTATGCCTTTTTCTACTGGAAGTTGGTGTATTTCCTAAAATGTTTAGCAAAGTTCGTCTCGAGGAGAAAAAAAAATCGTCTCAGTGCTAGAGCCCATCTTTGGGAAAGCCTCTCCTATAGATTTGGTGATATTATTTTTCTGTTACCCCAGATAAATGAGCTTTTAAGAGGAAGTAAAAAACAAATTCCTTGCAATTAGTTATGGCAATAAAGTATTGAATCTTGTGATTAGCATACTGAGACATCCATCTGTCATTTTTAATCGCTTCTTTCAGTTCAGGGTTGCGGGGGAGACAGCCTCTCTTGGCAAGCAATGAGCATAAGGAAGGGTACACCCTGGATGAGACACCAGTCAATCGCAAGACAGACATAAATATGCACACACTCACAACCTAGGGCCAATTTCCCAAGAGCACATCCTTGGACATGTCCACCACAAATACAGAGGGAAATGTATAGTACATACAATATGAAACAAATGAGCTGATGAACAGCAACAGCATCAAAAATAAATCTATTCCCAAGCAAAAGTGAATAAATTATATTATGATGGTGTACTTACATTGAGGCAGTCTGATTACCATCGCTCTGTATGTCATATTTACCATATTTTCCCAGACCTTCGAGGAGAATGATGACTAATCCTGGCATTGCTAAAGTACATAAGAACATAAATGTCACAGGCTCTTATGGTTGTTGCTGCCTAATTGATCAAGGGACCTTATCCACAAGTAGAAATGAAAAATACCACTCCCTCAGAACAGTTGCTTATTGATCAACTGTTTTGACGGAATAAGAATAACTGTATTGGGACTCTCCAGGCTATAATTAATTATCATTAACCAAACACCACCTTAAAATTATCATCCTAGGAAGTTATTGAAAATGTTGGCTTTAAGTAACTCACTGACTCAAGAACATAATAAAAACATGAATGGGCACATAAAGTTTAGTTGCCCATTACATGTGCAATTCCTCTATGCAAACAAAATACAAATTTGTAAAGGGTAAACACTGCAAAGCTTTTTCTGAATTCCTACTTCTATTAATTTCATTAAACAATGCTAGTGCAATAACATGAAGTACTTAAAGGTAAAACGTCAAGCATGCTAAAACAATTAAAATATTAATAGTTCCTTGTCGGTTGCATGTTTTTTTTTTAAATCCTCGTGCAACATAAAGTTTTGGGTCACAGTTTCAAAGGATCTCTAACCATGCAAACACAGCTCTCTAATGAAACACCCATCTAGCACGATTCTGCTACATCAGGATAATGCTTTTTGTACCTATCACTTCTGCTCTGAGAGAGGTTTCATTATTGCAGTGAATGCCATTGTCCCAGTTCTGACACTGATAAGGTGTCGGCAAAGAAGTGAAATAAATGTTATACTGATGTCTCTGCACAGCACCATTTATTCTAGTTCGTTGTTGAAGTTCAGCCCACACCCTTATAGAGATGGAACAGAGGTTTATATTCGTTGCTTTGTTGGTTGTCGACTGGGTGGGGAACAACAGTCTGGCTGTTGGAGCTCGGCTGTGTTTTGAGGGATGTGCCAGGAAGCTCCTGCATGGGAGGTGATGGCGTGGAGGGAGGGGTGCTCTAGAGTTGTGATATTTATACACAGAAGATCAGAAGTGGGCAAGAACAGGGTTTGACTTTTCCCGAACTTTTGTTTTAAACATATTTATAAGTCCTTTGCTCTTGTCACTTAGAAAATAAGCACCTCTTGAAGATTTTTAACATAATGTATACAATTTTTTTAGGGAGTTTACGTGCTTGAACTGGAAATTCACTTGAAGGACACTTAAAACATCTGAAACATTTATGTATCATATTGTTAAATCAACAGGTGCTGCTTTAGCATACTTCAATTAAGCACTAGAACTAAGAAGTGAGTTCAAGCCTTTTGGCCATCTTTACTTTCTTGTCTTTCATGACCCAGTTCAAGGAAGTGCTAAAACAAAGCTTGGTCTTCAATTCCAAATTAAAAACTCTTCATTCATCCAAGTAGCTGTGCACACAGTGATCCATACATACTGTAGTACAATGTAACTGTTGTGTCACCAAGTGAGGCATTAAACTTACCCCAGCCAATAAGTGTAATTTTTAACACATAGTGCTTGATGTCAATGTTGAAGACTTTAATCAGCTGCAGATACAAATGGAAGGCTTCAATGGCAAACCAGGTAAAGGAGCAGAGCATGGAGTAGTGCATTGCTCCTGCAATGATTGCACAGACTATTGCATTTCCTTTGGAGGACAGCCACTCATTCATTAGAAAGGTGAGATTCAAGAGGAACAGGGCCAAGAAGAGATTGATGAGGATCCTGGTTGCTTTGTTGGCTTTGGCTCTCCTGTACACAGAAACATTTTTTTTTTATTCAAACAGAACAGTGATTAATGGTCTTCTTATCAGAAAAATACATTTAAAAGAATACTTACCTTAACATAAAGTGCATGAACAGCCCCACACTCAAGAAGAAGAGTGAGATGCCACAGCCAATGTTGGAAATATATGTCAAGGTTTTCAAATCTGAGCTACTGATAGTTCTCTCGGAGGTCTAGGAAATTAAAAATGGACAACAGAAGTTTAATAAAGGATAGATCAATTAGTGGAAGGAGCATGATTTTAAAAAAGCAGTATACTATTATATAAAATAATATTTCAGGCACCAGAAATTCTACCAATAATATATGGAGGAATCATCTGTGAAGGAGAACTGAAACAGCTGCCCTGTCATGCTGCTTTAAGAAGCATAAAGAGGGAAAAAACAAATCCTTTGACATGGTGTTGGATCCAGGCTTTGTTATGTGTCTAAAATGAAAATGAGGTGGAAAAACACTTCTGATGAGATGCATCTACCATGAAAAAGATGATACAGTACACTCCGATTAAAGACAATGAAAATAGCTGTCAGAGTTATCTGGTCACCAAATACCAAAATAAAGTAAAATACAATAACAGTAGGGCACTACATACGTAGTGACAACTGTGTTCCTACCATGAGTACAGCAAAAAAGGTGAGGTGTTCACAGTTGCAACGTATAGTACTTTGATTATTTTCAGTTTTACAGCCATCCGTGATCCACTGAAGTCTTGTACCTGTGGGAAAGTGTAAAAGGGTCCAGTTTGTATCCACCAGAGACTGGAAAGGTTTGCTAAAAATATATGAATATGTCAATGAGAAAATTCTTAGCATATCATAGATTAGGCCCTTAATAACTTCCAAGTGAATTTCAAGTGACCTGTCAGTTGTGAAAAAGGAAAAGAGTAAGAGGCAGATTTTTGTGGCCATAGGCTTTTTGTACTGAGTCAGTGTTCCCTTGCTTAAAGTTTTGTGGTGGTGGTGGGTTTAGATCTTGATTTAATCTGGGTCTTTGTGAATTGAATAGTTTCTGATTTTGATTTCCATTTTTATTCTGTGTTCATGTTATTACTATACTTCACTATGCACCACACAATGTTGCTTTTGAAAGTTTGGCTATTTAAAATGTGCCCCTGTTTTATTCAACAAATATGCTAAAACAGGAAATATGGCACACTTCATTGGAATGTAGAAACCGTAACAATTTAAAGTGCAAAATACTGTACCTTCACCATTCCATGAATTGCAAGATGGAGTAGCACTACCCTGCAATTAAAAAAAAAATACAATTCATTTTTTTATAACAGGAAGACTCATCACTGAAAAACACTGAAATGTTGTTTTTTTCTTAGTTACACTTTTCAGCTCGGAATTAAACTCTCCTTGTTCCTTTCTCGCTTCCACGCTGATGCAGTTTCAATTATATGCTGTAGATTTTTCACTCCTATAATTCCTGTAAACTAACATGGTGCCCAATATGTAACTCTTATAATAAATATAAATGCAACAGGCGTATGATGTGGTCCTACAACACTCCTTTGTAATGTACTATTGTAAATCCCTGATATTTGGGCCTATACCTAGTTGGTTGGTTGGTTCATATTGTAGAATTTGTTTAAAATGTTTTTAAAAATCATCTTAAATGAAAACACAATTCTCACAATGATTTAAATGGATTATAAATTATTCAGTTATTATATCTGTAGATTATGGTGAATGTAACTATTATATGTGTAACAACAAAGTTTGAAATGAAAGGAGGCCATTTAGCCCTTTTCTAAGTTCTAAGTTCTAAGGAACCCTTTCAGGTGTTTTGTGAAAGAAAATCTTTGCGGATTTAAAATGCTTGAACCAGGTTGCCTCATAGTCTTGTCTGTTTGAGACTAAAAAGATGTAGTTTTTTTTATCTTGTTCAGAGGAGCAATATATTATTGCAATAATTATTGTATCAGAGTGACCACAATTTTACACAATATTCTAAATTAGGCCTCGCTTGTACTTTGTACAGTTTTAGCACAACATATCTTTATGTACATGACATACTTTTAAATATATATATCCTTAATTTGTTTTGCCTTTATATTGCTTCCCCTCATTTGTCTAGAAGATAAGTGATGCTTCAACATAAACTACTTGTTTTTAATGAATTGCTTCTTTAAATGCAGTTTTTACCACTTCATATTTCTGCTTTGTTTTTTCAACCTTAGGTAAAACTCAGCACTTCTCTACATTAAATGTCACTGATATTTTCCCAGTCTTGAATTATATCTAAATCTTTTTGGAATTTCCATTGTAGGTGCTATACTGATTGTTAACTGTACTGTTTTGGTGCCACCTTCAAACTTGACTAGTTGACTAAAATCTTGATCTGATGGATACAAATTCAGAAGAACAGTGTTCCTAGTACAGATTTGTGTCATACTCCTCTAATAAAATCATCCATATTTGAGCATTCACTCTTTACCTGTTTCTTATCCATTTACCAGTTCTTACTCCAAGTATACATACTGTATTTCCTTGAATGCCAGTCACCTGGAATTTGAAAACTACTCTTTAAAGAGCACTTTAGTCTTTGTAGCTAAGCAACTCATCTAGCCGATTTGATAACATAGCTGGGTAATCTACTCCAATATTTCCACAACCCTTTGTGTAAAGAAGTGCCTACTGTTTTCAGCTGTTAGTGCACACCCCTATAGTTTCCACTTGTTTCCTCTGGTTCATGGTTCAATATTAATCCTGAAGAACACTGCTGAGCTGACTTTGTGTTTTTGTTTTAGAATTTTGAATACGTGGATCAGATCCCCTCATAACTGTTCACTTTCAGTAGAGATTTTTACATGGCCTATGAACATCTCCTGCATCCTTTAAGGTAGAATATTGTTAGGACTTGGAAATATGTTTATCCTAAGTTCTCAGCTCTCAGTTTCAGTACTTCCTTCTTAACTGTGCCTTTGCTATTGCAATACTGAAAAAAATTTTATTTAAACCTCCATTGCATTTTTTAATGTTGCTCTCAGCTTTTTAAACATTTTTTTAACTTATGCTTGTGATTTGTTTTTAATCACTTTATAAAGTGCTTTCTGTCTCTGTATGTTCTTCTTAAGTTATTAAACTATTTGAGCCACTCATTTCCAGCCATATATTTTTCCTAATTGATTTGTTGAACTATTTGGTTTTTGATTTGCTAACTCTTGGGATGAATTTGTTCTGTGCTCCAAGATGAGTAGCTTTAAACAACTGCCTACCATTCTCTACAGATTTCCTATCAATCCTATTCCATCCCACATTTCATAAAGTTTTGCCACATTCCTATACAGTGTGCTTTCCTGAAGTCATAAGCAGTTTTCAGTCTGTGCTAGTTGTAGAACAGCTTTCAAACCCATTTTAGCAAACTGTCACGCCCGACATCCCTCCCTAGAGGGCGCTCCACTACTCCCGTTATTGTTTCTGTGATTAAGCTTCCCAGGTGTACCTTTTTAGGTTTATTATTTAAAGACTAACTCCTCCAGTCCTTGGGGGCTCATCATTAGGGTAAAGATGTCGCAAGGCTCGCCTAGCACCAGGAAACCCTACGTCCGTCTCCTGAGGGCATAAGCCTCATCCCCGACACGTCCCACTTCCTGAGCCCAGGGTCTGGAGGATCTCGCCCCGTCACCCTTGGACCTCCATGTTTTGTCTCTCCGTGTGTTCCCCCCTCCCAGGAATTTTAACCTTGTCGCCTCCCAGGATGGATTTCTCGCTGATGGACTCTCGGACTGTGCCCTGACCTGCCTTTGGACCCGTTTGGATTTGGATGCCATTCTTTGTCTTCCCCGTTCACTGTCTCACGGATTGTCACTATTATTTTGTGCACTATTAAACCCCTGTGTGTTCCCTTTTACCACGCCTCCTGTTTTCTCCAGCTCTTACCACATCGCATAGGGTCTACTACAAGATCTGACACGGATCTCAGTCCGTGTTCGTGACACAAACCTTAGCCTTTGTAACTTACCTTCAAGAAATTTGTGAAAGATATTGTTATGCGGTCTGTGAGATTTGAAATTCTAGCTCCCATTTCAATGGCAATGACCTCATTGGCAAAAACCTGACTGTTGTTCTCATCCTAAACACACAAACATACAAAACAAAGGTTAAGAGTATACTGGATTCATAAAATAGTTAAATTTCTCAATACATTTTCAGGAACTGCTTTACCTTTATAGGGTCACAGCGAGTCATTCTAGCACAGGGTAAACATTCAATCCCTAGCACAATTGTGGAAATGAATCAGAAGTCAAAAGATGCTGTGCCAAAAATTCAATTAGAATTTATTTTAATTCTGAATTAAAATAAATTATAATTGAAAAATGTTTAAGAAACAATGTAACACTTATGTCAGGGTCTTTCCGAAATTATTTTATCTCAGGTGACCCTGTATATAATTTAATCTATATATCTGTTCTTGATAGACAGTATGCAATTTTACTGTGGGTTGCAAGAATGAATGAGAGTTCAATAAATGTAGACCATTAGGGGCGGAGTGGTGGCACTGTGGCTAAGGATCTGTACCTATGGCTGGAAGATTGTTGAAAATACCACGGCCAGCAGAGGATTCCTAATCCGTTGGGCCCCTGAGCAAGGCCCTTAACCCCAGCTGCTCCAGGGGTGCTGTATAAATGGCTGACCCTGCGCTCTGACCCCAAGCTTCTCTCCCTGTCTGTGTGTCTCATGGAGAGCAAGCTGGGGTTTGAGAAAAAACAAATTCCTAATGCAAGAAATTGTGTATGGCTAATAAAGTGATCTTTTCATGAAGGTCATTGACACATAATGTTGGTATAACCCAGTAATTAGTCAAGTAGTTTAGTTAGATCCTAATGAATGTGATAGAGGGAGCAAACATGTATGAAGTATTTGGCCTGATTGCATAACTGAAGTGATGGCAGCCTATCTGTTAAACTCCCTCACTATTTGAAGGATGAAGCTAGAGAGTTTGCGAGGGTGCAGATGAGGAAGTGGGGGTTCCGGGTGAGGTGCAAGAGGGATACATAACGGAAAGACTTCAACTATCTATGTATTTCTGCTCCATTTATGCAGTTCTGTATTTTTATGACAAAGCGCATGAACAGAATGTGATCAAATTTATAATTTGTTAAAGGTTGTGGTTACATGACCATTCAGAAATGTATTTCTTTACCTTTGAAAGTCCATGAAATTGAAAAACACTAACAAATGCACTTCTGTTGGTTTCACTTCTTGCTTTGTCTAAAGCTTCTCCTGGAATGCGCACTAATGCCGTGAATTCGTAGTTGGCTGTGCTGTCATTAATCATCTGAGGACACAAAAATTTTTTAAAGAATTTAAAAAACGTTAATTAGGCTGATCTTATATACTATGATGGAAGGACTGAAATAATAAACTTTGGAAAACTACTCATTCAAAAACAAGAATCTTGCATATTATTATTTTCACTTTGTAGAACCTCCAGCATTTACCTCTACAAATACTGTGCCAAAGCAATGAAGCCAACACTTGCACAGCATAATAAACGTATCTCAGAGCAACTTTCCTTAATGCTGTTGGGTTGGATTCTGGTATGTTTTAAGTACTGACATTAGGATTGTTTCTTCACACTTTATGGTTGCTTGAATTCTTATATTTCCTGTATGTAAAGTACACAGTTTTAGAAATTCTGGGATAATGTCACAAACTGCACGCAGACACCATTGCATTCCCACTAGCACCCGATCACTCACTAATTAACGTCACTCACCTTGTCTATTTGAACTTCCACTCAGCAACTTGTCGTCGCTCACTATTGAGGTTTCCTCAGCCTGAGCTATGCATCCAAGTAGCGATTTACTCTGACTTCTCATTTGTTCTTGTGACCCCCTGGATTTCTGACCCACCGTTTCTGATCTCCGGCTCGCTCTCGTCTCCCGATTTGTATTACGTTCGCTTTAGGAATTCGGTTTTCTCTCTCTGACTTCGCACAGGGTCTTTTTCCCTACCTTGTCCCTCGGCATTCATGACTCCTCTCTGTTTGTGTGTCTACTCACCATTTGTTTGTGCGTGGGACAGGGGGGCAGAGAGGAGAGGAGTTTAACAAATGTTATGGTGGCTAATGTTTTGCCAATTTATGATGCTGAGTATGACTGCATGTGAAGCTGGCCTAAGTAACAGGGCACTGTAAAGTGTTTTACTGTAGTTAAATACAGTCTTTTCTCCCTCCATGTTTATAGAAAATATCTGCTGTTATAATGTATGGAAATAAGTTTTGAAGGATTGAAAATCTTCATTGCCGCTACTCATACGTAATAATAAAAAATGCCTTAATTGATATTTGAAGTTGCTCAATAAGTAATTCCTTAATACAAGAAACTGGTTGTTTCTATTTATTATAAATATACTGTACAATAAATGTAATCGGATTGGTATAGTTGGACTACACATAATTATATACATAAAATGTATAGCATACAGTATATAAGGTAATAGGCTGATATTGAATTAGCTTGTAACTGCATGTAAGATTATCACAAAGTCCTTCTTGTGTTAATTCAGTTGCTTGGTTAAAAAGTGCTAAGTGAACATGAATGACATGTTGTCTTCCAAATCCTGAACTGAAAGATGATGCGTACGTGATGATATTGCAGCATTGAAGTCCAAATTTGGATTTTCAGGTGCGTGAAAATGAAAAGTGAATAATAATTAGTTTGTCATGCTCACTTAACCGAACACTGTAGCTTATTGTACAGATAAAACCAGTTCTTGCAGGACTTTACATTTGATGTGGTTTGTATTACTGAGGAGCAATCAAACATTTTAAATTAAGTAACAATTTTAAATATTAATCTTTCTCAGATATTTCACCCTCAAAAGAGCCAGTGAGACCCAGTAAACCAATGATGTCATATATAGCATGATGTATCTCTATACACTAGATTATATTGGTCAACAAATGAATACTCACCATTACTCTCTTTGATGTTATCCCAAAAACAATAGTTTTTGATTTTGATATCCTGGGTTTTACCACAATCCCTTTGACATTCTCTGAGCTGTATATGACAATCTGACCCTCTGTCATGTTATCAGCTACTGCTGAGAGATTGCTCATGAACATTCTGTGAAAAAGTATGATTTTAATTAGTATTTGATACTGTACCTTAAGTTGTGTCAAAGCATGCTAGGAAACAAATTTTCTTAATTTAATAAAGTTAATTGCTTTACAGAACCTAAAACATTAGGACACGCACACATGATCAGTTCTAGAACAGATTCATAAGAAAACTAATGCCATGAAATTTAAGTACAAACTACTTTAAACTGCTTTACAAATTTTTCAGCGTTATTTCATTAAGGTCTGTTTAAAGGATTTTGAAAACAACTTTGTGTACAATGAACTTCCACTTCAATGTCAAGCAGGATTTTCAGCATAAAAACTGTTTGGTTTTTTGAAGGGCTAATATGACAAATATTTCCAAAGACTACACCACAAAGCCAGGCCATCAACAGCCAAAGAAAACTGAAAAAGGGTTCAATGTCTACAGTTGATAGATAAGATAAGATTTTTATTGTCCCCTGAGGGATTTTCCTTTATGGACACATTTAAATAGAATGCAAATAAAAAAAAGAAGAAGAAAAGAAAAACACTGCACATTATTCTATTACAAAAAACAAGATAGGTCTCATTTGTACTTTTGGTTGAATCAAGACCAATTTCTGACAATGTTTTACAATACTGCACAAAGATTGCCTCTGATAGAACCCCTATTAATTCTCTATATTCTGGGATTACAACACAAACCGCAGTTGTAGTTTAGAAAAATCCACCCACCTTCTTTTCATATTATTCTGAAGTTTATACTATGAAGTGGAGCATATAACATATGAAGTAGGCCAAGGATAAAACCTTTTTAACCTGAGAAGAATAGGCTATAATAATATGGACACGGTTTCACGATACATTTAAAATTTAAATTGATTAAAACTGTTGATAGTTTCACAATATACATGCTGAAAAATGAAGTCATATTTGAAGCCAAGTTGTATACATGTCTGGGAAAAACATCTTTCTAATGAACTTTATATGGAGTAATCTAAATTGCTTATTTATAATCTTGATAAACATTTGAGATGATAGGGCTTCTGTCAGCAGCTGTGGTAATTACCATCATTTACTGTAGTGGCTCTTCACCTGTGAGAAGTTTTTAAACTCTTTCCCAAGTGGTGGGGCTGTCTTGCTCCCAATGCCACCCTGAGCAACCTCAACAATCTCCAGTTTTGTTCATTTTGATATATTTGGTTTTTATTTTTGTTTTTTACCCAGAAGGCTCACAGCAGAAGAGTAACTTCTATGAACTTTGTTTTTTAAAAACTTTTTGGCCATGTTTTTATTGTCCTGTGTCTGGAAGATTGCTACACCACTCTGTATAGGAAGCACATAAAAGACATATATGTTACTTACGAAGCATCTTCTGCTTTTATGGTATCATTTTTGAAAGGTAGCTGAGGGGATGCAGTACTTGTTACTGTAGACTGTACAGCTGTTGATGATATTTGAGATGCAGTATGTGCTGCTGTGGACTGTGCAGTTGTTGATGATGTTGGAGATGCAGTACTTGTTACTGTAGACTGTGCAGTTGTTGACGATGTTGGAGATGCAGCACTTGTTACTGTAGACTGTACAGTTGTTGATGATGTTGGAGATGCAGCACTTGTTACTGTAGACTGTACAGTTGTTGATGATGCTGGAGATGCAGCACTTGTTACTGTAGACTGTACAGTTATTGATGATGTTGGAGATGCAGTACGTGCTGCTGTGGACTGTGCAGTTGTTGACAATGTTGGAGATTCAGCACTTGTTACTGTAGACTGTGCAGTTGATGAGGATGTTGGAGATGCAGCACTTGTTACTGTAGACTGTGCAGTTGTTGATGATTTTGGAGATGCAGTGTTTGTTTTTGTACACTGTGCAGTTGTCGTTGATGTTTTTGATGATGCACTTGTTACTGTAGAATGGGCAGTAGTTGATAATGATGTTGTTGGGAATGCTCCACTTGTTGTTGGTGGGTTAATACATGTAGTTACTGTAGCCATTGGACATTTAAATGGTAGGGATACAGTAATTGGTGATGTTAGGATGTTGTCAGATTGGCATCTAATACAACTCATATTAAATGTTTTTCTAGCTGTCCACAGTGTAATATTGATGATGTAAGAATCAAAAGGTCTTGATGCAAAAACACATTGGAAAATTAGAGAAGAGAATCTTGTTCCAAAGTGCTAAATATTGGAGAAAACTGATTCTATGTAAATGTTAACAATCTTCTGGAATCAAAGACACCAAAAAACCTGTCCCACAGGTAGACAACACATCACACCTCATCAGATGATAGTATAGATATTGTACACTGACTATTCTGGTGAATATTATTAGGATTACATTGGTCTTTGTTTATGGTGCTTACCAGTAACCAAAAAACATTCCAGCTTATGCTGCAACACTGCTATGAAGTGCTGAATGAAGGGAAATAACTTGATTTCTGAAAAACACTCTTTATTTGATATAATTAAATAATTAATTTAAAATTAATTATAATTGAAAGTAGTGCTGGATACACTATGTGTGCTCATTGTGATGAGAATCTTCGATAGCTCTTTATCACAAAAAAGAGATTAACTTATTTTATGGTCACCATATTGTATGCCTTTGAACATGTAGTGTCTTCTGTAAGATGCTGAAAACTATATTATCATGGCAACAATATCTCCTGAGTAGTCAGATACCATGCTTGGGTATTTCTGTATTATTTGTCCAGTGCACAGTACCAGTTTTTGAATCAGGTGCTGCCTTGTCTCTTATCCTTTTCTGGGAGTTGTCAAGCATGTTTATGTCATATGTGATTTTTATAAAATGTTTGTAAATGTCTGTTTCAAGTAGACAAGCTCATATTCTCAGAACTTCATAGCTCAGCAGTAGAAGACATATGGACTAAGCCTAAAAGATATCCTTAACAGCACAATAAAAATTGACAGTAACATTGCTAAAATGCTTTTGTTTTGCTTTCCTCCATAACATTATTGAACGGTAAATCTATCTGTGGATTGTAAGAATTCTTAAAAATAATTTCTTGTAAAACATTATGTGACGTACCTGTACATATTACAATTTGAACATTTGTCTGATGAATAAGAAACATTTACCTTTGTAAATGCTTTCATTAAATGGAGTCTTGTTAACAGCACATACATCTGATGGACTGAAGCATGTAACTGTGCAGTTTCCTGAGAGATTGAATTAAAAAGTAAATCAACATACAAAATACACAGTGATTAATAAAGCAGATGACTTATTTATAAAATAATAAAACATATCCATAAGCATAATATGTTTAAGTAATAAAAACATCTGTACCTGTAAGGTTTTCACTTTCATTACAATTTTGGCATGGCTCTGTAAAGAATACACAAATGCTGAAGTTGTCACAAACATATAGTTCAGTCTACAGGGATTTTGACTGATCATATAAAATGTAAACTTAACACCAAGAAAGTACAGCTGGTTAATGAAAGTAAACTCACATGATTTTTAATAAGCCAAGGAAAAAAATAACATACACAATTGACTAAGTGATCCATGTTGTTAACAGCAATTGAAATCTAGTCAAAATAGCTCCGGTTCACTTATTTTTTATAAATAGAAAGTACTGCACTGTACTTAGATGTCTAACAGCAGACATGCACAGTAATTTTAACAGGTGGCGCTGTTAGGCAATGTATGAGCTTAGATATCTGCTCTTACTGTCTCCAAGAAAGATTTGAACAGATTTGCTTTGCTACTTTTTCTCATAAAGGTCCCAAAAGTGGAAAATGAATCAACAGTTACTGTTTCTAAAGTGTCAAATTGATTACAAATAATTAAAAAATCAGCAGATAAATATTTAAAATGTACCTGAAAATCATTCAGGGCACAATAATTCTGTTAGATTTTCACATCCATGTATGAGCCGCAATATTGGAACCATAGAAATGTAGTTTTTTTTCAAATATATGTAATATGAGCTTCCATTTTTTTCTACATCAATTAACTCATCGTTACCTGGTAATGCAAATATAAATTCCATTAAAAGTATCTGATGCAAATAAGGAATCAAACATTAGGACAAAAGTATTAAAAAGGTAGATGTGTGATCACTCCTAAAAAGCAAGTTGAAGCAAAAGGAAATAAATATTTGCAGGAAGTCTAGAAGACCAGGATTTTTTTACATGCTGTATTTGTGCTTACATATTTGCTTGCTCTATTTGTAGGTAAGGCTATGGAAACTATGAGACCTAAGAGGATTAATCACTTCATAACATATGGAAATCATATCTTATCATCACGGATTTTAAATGGTAGGTCTTGCTTAACCAACTTGTAAGAGTTATTTCAACAAACCACACCATTAATAAATACACAGAGAGCAGATAATATGGTGTATATAGATTTTTGGAAGGTTTCTGATAAAGTATATAAATAAAACATTAAATTTAATATTATGAGTAGTAGGCATTCAGGGAAATGATTTTGTTTGAATTGAGAATTGGTAATAAATTGAAAATTTATGCTCAGATTTGGTTCTTGTAATTAGTAGAGTACCACAATGATCTGCACTAGGACCACTGCTCTTTTTAATTATATGAAACGTGTAGATCATGGGTTGGCAGCCAATAGGACTGTGTCACTATGGAATGCAAATGGTTTTAATGGCATATGCAATAAAAGTCTAATAAGAGTGTAATAATATGAGTGTGTGGATACAAATTATGTACTGAGATTAGCAATTCTTACAAGATACAGTGGCTCAGATGGAATTTGTGAAGAGATGTGCTGCCTAATATCTATGCATGGCACAGCTACAGGGGAAGATATAGCTAAGACCTTTATTAATTATTCTGAGTAAAGAGGAATTCACATCAAGAAATTATTTTCTGTGATGTCGGACGGTGCCCCTACTAAGGTTGGAAAACAGAAGGTTTTCAAAAAGATCATTGCAGAATAATACAACACTGAGCTCTTTTCTGATTAAACCAGAAAGCTTTGATACAAGAGACATTAACTTTTCAGGGACTACCAATGAAAAATACTTTCCTTTTGAGGTGGATGTTTATATCTTAATTATTTACATTTTTTGACAATGTAGGGAAGAAAGCATTATAAAAGGCAAAAACTGTAAGGATATATAATCAATATCATAGAATTCAAATCACGGGATGTTCGTCACTGTGTTATAAAGATATGACTGCTCTGGAATCAGTCCAGAGAAGAACGACCAGATATATATCTGTGATATATTCAGTTTGTCCTACACTGTCAGGCTGAAAGAACTAAATTTCTTTAATCTGGAACAGAGAAGACTATGAGGGGATATTCCAAATGCAGAAAATCATCAACAGCATTGATACACTCACTGCAATTGGACCTCTTTACTAACAGGTGTCAAACCATGAAACACTAAGGACAAAAATGTAAACTTTGTGAAAGTACATTTAAAACTGAGAACAGGAGGACATCTACGTCTCCTTACTTTGAAGTTTCTGGGAGTATGGGAGTATGGAGCAAGCTAATCATACTCTCAGAGTATCCCAGATACTTTTCTGAAGTCAGCACTCTGACTTCTTTCAGGAAATGACTGAAAGAGATCCTTGCATCACTTACAGTAAACATTAACTACAAAATGGACAAGATGGTCTCAATGGCCTCTTCTTGTTTGTAGTTTTTTAAATGACTTAATTACATTCAGAACCATTCTTCTCTGACACCACCGAACCAATCAAAGTGAAACATGGGGGAAATAATCAAAGTAACATCTTCTTTAAATGGTATTGAAAATATATGAAAGAGATATCTCTTTTTTAAGAGATATAGTTGAAGCTGTCCACTCACATTTCTGCATCTCCATTTACATTTGTTTATGAATTTATTAATGGTACAAGTCCTTTCATCAGAAAACACCAATTTCCGTACATATACACTGATTAATTTAACAGATTGCAAGCCATTTGGGAGTTTTTAAGATTTTAGCATTTTGATTTTTATAACAGTCATAACATGTATTATAGAAGTGGGGTGCAGATGAGCGTCTTACTGAAAAAGTATGGCTAGACGTGCTTTGCTGGTACAGAAACTGTGACAGCACATGTCAGGTGCTTTTCATTAATTTTCATATTCAGGGCTTAGAAAGCCTCCTATTCCCACCCACTTATTTTAAATGACTCACCACTCTGTTTTTGTTTCCCAGTTTGGTGGTTTTCTTCTAAAAACAAACAAACAAATAAATAAATGTAAAGACTGTGTACGTCCACTACGCTGACATTTGATATTTCCTGAGGGAATTCATTTAAGCTAGGCTAGGCATCACTTGCATTGCTTTAGTGATTTCAGAGAAGAAACATCACACAACCACTCTGTTTACTTATACTGTATCATTTAGCAATTGTGTAACATATTCTGCTTGACACTGTTGTAATGACACTGTTGTAATGACACTGTTGTAAAGCAGCAGCAGTACCACAGATACACTACTCAGTAATCACATGGATCCAATAATCTTGTAAGCAACATTTTAAAACTGAATTTGCTGTATAATCCATCCTAGAGCATAGGAAGTTATGAAACCTCACAGGGTTTAAGGGCTTATATGTGAAGGTGTGCATGCATAAAAAATAAATTAATTAAGAAGGTCACTTGACTTGGTGGCTGTGTTCTATATTTTTCAAATATTTTAAAATCTTCTTTATTGAAAGATGCTGACCCATCCTGTGGTCCCATTCCATTCAGATGGCGTTGCTCTGGCCAAACTCAGCTCCATTTGTTTCATTTAAAATGTCTTTTTACATTCAAAGATTGAACAAGTGTCTAAGCACTTGAAACTGATAATGTTGTCAGTAAATTGCCAGATGGCCATTGCAACAAGAAGGCGCAGCAGTTTGAACGTTTTGTTAAGTTAAAATTTAAAAAGTGCCAATACCTTAAGGCATGGAGATATATGCAGTATTGCGGATCTGTATTTTATAAAAACAATGCTACTAGCTACCTCTGAATTAAAGACAAAAATCTCCAGACTAGCAACCTCATTCTCATTTTTCCTCCTATTAATAGATTTATCCAGGCAGAATATGTGACCATTTTCAGTTGTACTAGCTCTTTATCATCTCTGTAATAAGTTTAGTCAGAATTGACAACTGGGATCATTCTCTGTTTGCTTTAATTGTCTAAATGTGTGTGAAAATCTAAGAGGACAATTCAGCTTTCAAGTGATGTAAATCTCGAGGTTCAGTCTCCTGAATTACTTATTGTATTTAATACATCTGAGAGCTTGTTACCTTGCATAATCCATTATACTCCACTCACAAAATCAACAACTAGAAGAGGATTTCTTTATGGTGTTTTCTGCTATGCATCAGTTATACGATATGCAGTTGTTCTGCTTCCTTTAACGCTATAGAAGTAAGAAGGTAGTGCTGACTTCATGAAAATTATGTTAACCTGATACAAATACTCTATTTTAATTTGTATATTAAATTAAAAGTATAGAGAAAGTCACATTGGTAAAGACAATTAAGAAAACATTTATAACTCACTATAGGAGAGAGATGGATCAATTACCTGTATTATTATTTCCCATAACCAATACACAGTATTTTTCCAAGAAATTAGTAATGTTCTGTGCTGGGCATCCTGATAAACAGACAAAAATGAACAGTTTGCTAAGAACAGAAAATATAAATAAATTAAATTTAAATGATTTTTTCAACTGACAACCCTTTATACAAGGTAAAAAAGGATTTCTGCATTTTCCTGCTTGAATAGGTATCACTTTTCTAATCAATACAGTGGATAAATGATCATTTAAATAATTTCATTTACAATATCATTTAGATGTATCATTTAAAACACCTAGAACAAATTACACGAAAAATTCACAATAAGAGTGTCTGAAAATCTTGCTAGTTTATTGCCAAACTGTCAATGCTTTTTGCATTGTATAAAATTTTGTGAGAAAAAGTAAGTAACCTCTCATTATACCCTGGTTTCGTTCCTACTAATTTGAGTGTTAAACCAAGATATCAAAAGTTTTTTTCATTTTCAGGTCAGGTATACATAAGAATGGAACTAGGAGGAAATTAATATAGATATACAAAGGATTTTTTGAATGTTCAGATCATCATAAATATACATATGTGTTGATCCAATCTAAGTATAGAATCAAATTAATTTTACCTGAACAGGGTGCATTTCCAAATAAAGTTGCATTAGAATCAAAAGGTTGGATGATTGTGAATCCTCTATTTGCGTTTATATCCTCATTTATAATTATAATAGGCTTCCCAATGCATGAATCAGTATCTAAATGGAAAAAAGGAAAAAACAGAGTTGATACCTCCAAAATATAAATACTATACTATAAATACTATACTATACTATACTATAAATACTCCCAGTATGTTTTTGGTGTGGAAGGAAACCGAAGCACATGAAGGAAACCCACGCAAACCTGAGAAGAACAAACAAACCGCACGCAGATTGCACCCTGGGTCCGGAATTGAACCCAGAGCCTCAGTGCCACGAGCAAGCAATGCAAAAATTCTGTCCATAATGTTGTCAGAAGTTCCAGAATACCTTGCTACCTTTTCTGAGTACTGATGTGCTTCACTGATGATGGAGTCTTCCATGCTTAGTGAATGTCGCATAGGTTCTCAAATGTGTAACTGGATGCACTGCTTGCATGTGCAGCAGTAAACTAATCCTTTACATGTACATTTGAAAGTTTGGTATATAGTAACTGGTATATAGTAACTTGATTTAGGGTCTAGGCTGTCTCTGCTGGAACTAATATATCTGTAGGTTGTTCATCTTGGTCAATTGAAACAAAAATGTCTTGTATTTCCACAGAATAAAAATCTACTATTATTTTAAGTTATGTGTTATTTAGTTATGGATATAGGCAGATAGTAGCAGGTGATAAAATGGAAATGTCTAAATCAAATTTTAGAAACTAATGCAAGATATGACAATGAGTCCTATGGGGTTCTTCCCAATTCATGACTTTTTCAACAGTGCTACTGTGTCTTATCCTTCCCACAGCACAAAACAAGCATTTGCTGTTTATGCACAATTGCAGGTGGGGGGTGATTGATCATTTATGTTTATGGAAAATAGGATTTACACTGCAAACAATTAAAAAAAAACTTTCTGCTACTTCTGCAACTTAAAACATATTAACACATTTCAATTTGACAATACCAGTGGGCTTAATGGCAGACCTGTTAAATTTCATCCTCACCTTTCAACAATTATCCATTGAAGAAAGAAATTACCAAGAACTGTTTAGGAGATCAGAAATCAGACTAGCTTTAAAAAAATACTTTCACTGGAATCAATAATTGTGTAGAAAAACAATGAGCTTTCATGGTTGAACAGACTCTTCTTGTGAACTTTTCTTTTTCATTTGTAATTCCAACATTACTAAACCCATTACTAAACCATTTGGGCATCTGAGTCTACATGAGGAGAATTTTACATAGAATTTATTTCTCCAGTTTTGAGAATATTAAAAGAGCACATTAGCAACAAATCAGTTCATAATTTGAGTGAATCATCTATACTTACAAACATAAGTAGGAAACAGAAGTGAACCCAAGCATATCAGAGCTCCAAATCCAAAGTAATTGCAAGCTTCCCTTTCCATGATGAATATCTAGCTCTGCAAAGGACAAGTTAAGTAGTTAGCTACAAAAAAACTGTAGAAAACTGATATAAAAACATGTTTCAGGCAGGCCAAAACTTGGAAAAAACAATAGGGTAACTGCAAACCATTGAGCTTGAAAATGTATTTTATTCTTCCTTACTTACAAAAACGTCATCACTTCACATAATGCTTTCAGCTATATTTGTTCTTTTCAATTGGTGCCTCAGTTAAAACATCTACATGAATAATTGATATTCTTTGATATTATTGCAAACACACAAACCTTGACACCAATTTCGATGACAAGACAAGACAAGGTGTTTACTCTTCTTAAAGGTCTAAACTAAGACGTTGTATAATGAAAGCCTCAGAGTCCCGCTTACCACTAGGAAGGGTGTCAACAGGTTGCCTGTCAGGATCACAGATTGAAGTAACACATTTCTCAGATCTGAAAAGGAAATGGAACCAAAATAAATAAATTTACATATCTACGCTGTATGCACAATAAAGTATTTTGACTTGCAAATTCCATTCATTTCCATTAGTCACCGGATCATTCTTCATCTATATTATATTGATAATAGTTAATACAACAACATTGTTAAGCAACAGCATTGTTGCATTTTGCAATTTTGTAATGAATGTGAATGACGAAGTTGTAAACTTTTTTTCTTTTAAAACTTTGTGACAAATTAGTTATTGTATCACCTGGTGTACAAATAAAATCCAATGTTTCTTAGAAACGGTACCACTTAATTGATTTTGCACTCAGAAATAATCATTTTAATTTTGCTGATTTTTCAAGTGATATTGCTGAAGAGCAGAAAAAAAATGACTAGTATTCTTATATAGTGATGTTTTTAAATAGACTCTCAGTAGGAGGTCAGACTTCTAATCTCACCCCTTCCACTCAGGGCTGGCCCCAGCTTTTTTTCCTAGGAAAGATCATGGAAAGGGGCGCCTCCAGATCACAATTTGTGCATAAACTACTATTACTAGCTCCCACAACAAACTTATTCTAATATTTAGAACAAAAGCATAAATGTATTATATAACCAGAAAACATCTATTAACCAGTTTGAAGAATACATAATACAAAACTTACAAACAGCAACAACAAACATGCATTTTACAAAGATAACATGTATTTTAATATTGAAAGTAATAATGTGAAATTCCAATCTGTTAACTAGTAAAACACCTTAGCCAGTCTATGTGTCTAGCTAGAAAATCTGGCTTGTCTACCATTCACTAATGACATGGATCTGACAGACTCAAAACCAGATGAATTACAGTACAAATGCATTAACACATGACTTGATTTGGCATACAGTACCTCAGTTTTGAGATCAACCATCCTGTTCTTCTCTGCCATTCCTTTTCTCAGTGCCCAATAAGTACGGTATGACAGTGTGTGTTTACCAATTGCAACTACAAGATTTTAATTTTAAAGCATTACCACATAGTTTCCAATGCAATTAGAAGGTCACTTGTAATGTTTCATCAATGTTTAATCAATAAAATTGAGTATCACAACATTTACTACTTTCCGAAATTAAACAAACAGCATTCGTTGTAGCAACATCTGAAACCACAATGATGCTGTTGTCTAGATGGTGAAGATGAGAGTCATGTGCTACGTTGACAAATAAACTAATACACTTGTACATTCACAAATAATAATGTTATAATTTAATAATTATATAACAGCCCAGATCAGTACAACAGCATCAGAAAGAGCTACAGCAGGGAATTTTTGACTCACATTTGAACATGCCAATTAAAAAAAATGTTGTGTTGCACATTGAAGGGGCCCCCTGGTGGAAGCGGGGCCTTAAGTAGTCACCTAGTTCACCTAGGCCAAGGACTGGCCCTGCTTCCGCTCTGCAAATAAGCCCCTTTCCGCTTCTTTCTCACACTCTTGCTTGCTCTTGCCACAGACTTGCCTTTCTGTGTTTTTGTTTGTGCCAGAGACAGATCTTACCTTCACTTGGCTCCCACACCATCATCTCCTTGTGCGTACCAGCTTCCAGCCAGCCAGGATTAATTGACTCCTCCTTGAAAAAGATGCTCTTCATCTATTACTTGTCCCTGCTCCATGGTTAACAGTTGGTTCCCAGCAAACCGCCATGAAATGTGCTCCTCTCTTCTGACACTTTCTGATGTTGTCACCTCTCCCTGGAGCTCTGGAACAACTGCAGTGTCTCTGTCCTCGACCTCCTTCCTCTCTCCATTCTTCTATCTCACCACTTACTTTACCGTCACCATCCTTTGCCCCATCGGGTGTCCAACCCACTGCACTGTCATTCCCAGCCTTTCTCCGGTGTTTGATCTTACCCCCTTTCCCAATCCTTTTCTGCTGTTCCCATAGGAGCCCCCTGATTGCTGAGGCTCATTACTATGGGTGCAGCAGTATGTATGTACTGGGCCCAGGTTCCCCATTTACAGCCCTCGCTACTCCTAGTGATGGCAAAAGGTTCCTTCCACTTGCCTTCTTCCCCTGATGCCTGGTGTTGGCCCCAGACTCCTTGCTTTCTTCAAGGACTTTTGATTTCATTGCTGTTTTTGAGGGTTTTGCCTGAAATCTGTACTCATTTGTTCATTCATAGCTAACAGTGCACACAGGCCAAGATGCATAAATTCATTATTACAAGCAATAAAATGCTATCAATCATATGAGTTACATTATCTTATCACCTTCGCTTTTCTCAGCCTGCAAATCCATCTGTTCACTGGCAAGCATAGGTAAGTGTTTAGGTTTTACCCACATGTGATCAATCACTTCCAGGTTAATGTGGAACTACAAGAAAATGAAAAAAGCCCACAGGGAGATTGTAGTACCGGTGAAGTGATGGTGATCCTGTAATAACTTGTTTAAAGTTTGAAAAACGTCCTATTTCTTCTGTCTATGAACTCACAGAAAATTCAATGTTTCATTGAACACATCTGTGGATAAGAAGTCATATTATTTGATTTTTCCAGATCGTGAGCGGGTGCTTATTGAACCAGATGACATAAAGTGCCTCTGAACCTGCAGGCCCCCAAATTAACTTACAATCTTGATCAAGAGATGTTATGTTAAGATTGTATAACACACTACTGAGGCCTCAATTGGAATATTGTGTACAATTTTGGTCACTTAGTAATAGAAATGATATTGCTGCTCTAGAATTTGTTGGTAGAAGTGTCAAGAGTCCTGATAAAATCATTCGGAATTCTCAAAAGGCTCTGAAAAAGTCAACAGATTTCTTGCAAATTAATGGTAAAATGTGAACCTGAGCACACACAAATCAAAACTATGTAGAGGTGCATTTAAAACCAAAAGGAGGCACTTCTTGGACCAAAGGCATAAGTCTAAAGGATTGGGCTACACAACCATGTTGCTGAAGCCAATACCCTGGCTTCTTTAAAGAAACACTAGGATGACATTAACTAATCACTACCAAATGGACTGAATGGCCTCCTCTTGTTCGTAACTGGTTTTATGTTTTTATGTTTTTGAACAGTGTCGTGGTTGATTTTCCAAGATGGAGGTGGATATGGGGACCAGGGACTTGCACAGGCACTTCCAGGCCAATGCCCCCATTCTCAACTCACAGTCAGGAATTCTTTCCAGTGGGCCTCAGGGAAAGAATGCATCAGCTGGAGGTGCTGCTTTCTCTCACACCTCTGGTAAGGCTCCTGCTTATCACCTGTGCAGACTGAGGCATAAGCAATTGGCCAACAGTGTTAGAGAGTGGATAGAAACAGAGAGGGAATATAGGATTGAAATCTTGAGGCCCTGACAGTGTCTGAAATCTGAGCTCAGCTGTTCCACACCACCAGTATGGCATCACACATGGCAGAGATGCAAAAAATTGAAATGTTCATAAACCGCCTTCAGTGAATTTAGGCACTGAAGAAGAATATTGTTCTCTCTTGTGTGTTTCTAAACTTTTCAATTTTAAATGATAATGTTTTTGTATGTATTTAAAACATTAGAATTCTCTCTTCTGACTAAGTCTAAGTAACTGTATAGGAATAGAACAGAAGAATTTGAATCTAATTTCCATCTGTAAAAGGGTCATCGTGGCTTATTTTCATGTGCCGTGCTGAAAGTATTTAAAACAGCACTGGATCTCCCTCTCATTTGTTTTTCATGCATTATACTGAAAAGCAATTTTACTCTTGGAAATTTTATTTTTTCAGGATGTATTTTTCAAATTCCTGACATCTTCGTATCTTAAGAAAAGACATTTACTGTTACAGTATTCCATAATAGTGATAAAAAGGTTATAGGTCATCAATTACAAAAATGCATTCTCTAACTACTCGTTTTCCAATCGTGAATTCATACTGAATAATAGTTAATAAAACAATCGAATAAATGAAATACTGATGGTGGATGTTAGGTGGCAATTTTCCCCTTTGAACCAGTAATTCTAAACTGATCTCTAAGCATGAGCACACGAAAAACTGTGATGTAAGATGTTCTATGCTTCAAATAAAATATTCAGCTAGTCTTCCCAGCTGCTAACACAAACTTCTACTGTGCATCCCATGGGTAGATGAGTTGAGCCTCACTGCATGTGGAAATATAGATGAGTGGAGCCCATAACATTTGCATTGCATCACAATCCTGAAGGCAATCAGAGCTTCCTGACCATGTCATTTCATCTTGTGAGAAAGTTACAGACAAAATAAATCTTTTAAAACATGGCCTGGGTCAAAAGATGCTTTTCATGGCTTTCATTCAAGCTTGTGTCAATGTCCTCTGGAGTAGCCATCCATCCTCCTTCCTACTGCTGTGTTTGGGATGGGTTCCCTGGGGCAGATATCTGACTGTTTTTGTTCTAAAGAGTGAAGTGGATGTGGTAGACTGGCTTTATCCTTCTCCATATCGCTTTCCCTACACTATGAAGGGATTGGCTCCTCATTCAGTTCTTTATCTGAGCTCTGCAGTTCCTGCCTCTAAAATATCTGTAATAATGGATTTATCTGAGGTGGGAGAGCTTGATCTCTAATCTGGTGTCCTGTGCTTCTCTTCCCTACTTCTCTTCTTAGTGTACCTTCAGTTCTCTTGGCTCTGTCAACTCACTTTGAGTCCGCTACTTAAATGGCCTTCAAACTTTTCACTCATCTGTGTTTAGCACCCCCCAAAGTCAGGATTATTATGCATTTCTGAAATATTCTTCAGCAGAATACCAGGGAACAAGGTTGAGTTATAAGCTTCTTTATGGTTCTCTTCTGTACTCCAACTTGCCAAATTGCTGTTTAAAAGGGAAGAGAACAGTTTGATACCTGTAAATCTGTTTGGTAGCAGCCATGATTGGGTCTAATGACAATTTATGTGGATCAAAACATTAACTTTCAAAACATTGAATTTTTGTGGTTAGACTTTTTATCTAATGAAGCTTAAAGAAAACAAAGGC